TCAGTGATAGACTGGATAAAGAAAATATCATACATCTACACCATATGTAGCCATTAAAAAGAATGAGATCATATCCTTTGCAGGGACATGGATGGAGCTAGAAGCCATTATCCTCAGCAAACTAACACAGGAACAGAAAAACAAACACCAAATGTTCTTACTTATAAGTGGGAGCTGAATGATGAGAACACATTGACACATTGTGGGGAGCAACCCACACTGGAGGCTGTGGAGGCGGGATGGGGTGGGCTGAGGGAGAGCATCAGGAAGAAAAGCTGATGGAAATTGGGCCTAATACCTGGGTGCTGGGTTGATCTATGCAGCAAACCACTATGACACATGCTTACTTATGTGACAAACTGCACATCCTGCCCATGTACCCGGAACTTAAAAGTTGAAGAAACTAATAGTAATTCTATTATTGGTGATTTAGGTTGCTTACAATTTTTCACGATTAAGGAAGGTTTCTTTTGATGGGCATCTTCACACAAAGTGATTTTCCTGTGTTTAGGATTCTACACAGATCTCAATGCCACACAATTCCACACCCTCCTTTCCAACTACCCCCGGATCTGCCAAGCTGCAGTTACTTAAACTACCAATACTCAGGCACAGCTCCAACCAGGCTAGAACGCAGTCCTGCTCCTCCCAGCGGGTGACTTTGGAATTAAGCTGCTGACTCCTTGCCAAGGTTTCAGCCTGGTGTAGCATGGACACTGCAGATTCCCGTTCATTGGCACCCGAGTCCCTGCAGTGAGTGGACTGGGCCAGCCCTGTCCCTCGACACCACGTCCCTTCCTCCCTCCCGCCCCCGGGCTCTGCTGGAGCTTCGCCCCCTTGGCCTGTGCACTGCCCCTGTCCTGGTCATGCACTGGCTGGTGCAGCCCACAGACCCCTCCTCCCATGACCCACGTATTCCCTCTGGCCATCCTGCCACCACCTGGCCTGAACCCCGTGGATATAGCCCCTGGTGATAGTCAGCTCATGTCTAACCAAGACATAAATGTGTGGTGAAGTTTTTATTTCAGATGTGAGGATGTCATGTAGGACTGATGATGAATTGTTCCTGCTTCTACTGAGGAAAGGTCAAGAACTATAAATTATCTGTAAGGATGGTTGTGACTCATCCCTGGCACTGCTCCAAGGCCTGGTCTCACCGTGATACGCTATGAGTCCCAGAGATAAAGACATGGTGAAGAAGAAGCCAGAGTCTCCACTGGTTTACTGAGCCATCAAGATTGACCAAGAGGAAGACCTTCGTTTGCTGGACAAAGGCCCAGGATTTGATAATCTCTAAAGACACTCGATTTCTATTCTATTTTAAGATACTTTATTTCTACTTTTATACCTTGTAACCCTGTCTTCCGTTGTAAATTACTTCCTCTAAATATAGGTACAGAGCACAGGGCTCTGAAGCCCAGGACAGCCCCACCACGTCCATCATCCATCGATGGGGGATGCATGTGGTATTGTGCTGCCTGGGTGCGTCCTATCGCATCAGTTGTGCCTTTTTCTGAGTCTCTGTGCCCCTGCTATAGGGTCTAGCCCTACAGGGTTCTGTGAATCCCTCCCTGCTGGTGCAGAGATGAGAAACTGTAGAAATAAAAGACACAGACACAGAGAGAAAAGAGAGTCTGGGCTTGGGGTCCACTGCCAATCAAAGCATGGAGGCCTGCAGTGGCCCCGAGTGCCTGGACGCTCTGACTTTCATTGAGTACAAAGCAGTGGGCAGGGAAGGTCAGGGGAGGTAACGGTGGTCAGTGATAGGGTCAGGTAAATCATGTGTCTTGGAGATAGGAGCCCAGGACTTTCAAGTAGCGAGACAAGGAGAAAACCTAATGTGTCATCACTCTGCACATTTGTCAGAAATGTCAAGGACATTAAGATTATGTTACTATTATTAATTCTAAGAAAGAGAGAAACCAGGTGCAGAAGCGGAGCGTGAGAGTGGACACGGAACGTGACCGCTGAGGCCCAGCGTCACGTAGAGACAGGTAACCCCCGGATGTCTGTGGGTGTCCCTGACAGCCGTCAGGCCTACCGCGAGAGCTTGGAGAAGCGGAGTTTTCTCCAGACTTCCCCAGAAAGACGTCTCTGCCATTTTGGATGTCTCCTTCCCTAGCTGGCTAAACGGCGGGCGCTTTCCCAGCTCTGGCGCTGCCACACAGCCGAGGCGCCCTCCAGCAGCCCTTATGCGGCGTCGCAGAGGGCTTGCAGCATCTTGCCTTAGGATCACTTTGTTCACAATGTCACCTCCGTTCCATGCTTCATAACCTGAGAGTCATTAGTAAAATTAAACGTTATTTGAGTATATATCTTTATGATTATAAGTGAGTAACCTTGAGATTATATATGATTATATAAAGGAATAGCTGTGCCTACGTTTCTAATTCTTTTCTAACTCAATATCTATACGGGAACAGGCTGAGGCTTCAGGCCCTTACCACGGCACTTGAGGGGTTTTGCCCCCACATCTGCTGTGCTGTGTGTTTGGAGGACAGAGCCCTGACAACAGGCCTGACCTCGGCTGCCTGTCTGAGGGGGCCGTCAGCCTTCCACCTCTGCGCACACTTCACACCTGCAGAAGACACTGAAGACGTTTATACCACTTTTTTTTTTTTGAGATGGAGTCTCTCTCTGCCACCAGGCTGGAGTGCAATGGCAATTCCTCGGCTCACTGTAACCTCTGCCTCCCAGGTTCAGGCGATGCTCCGGCTTCAGCCTCCCAAGTAGCTGAGACAACAGGTTCGCACCCCCACGCTCGGCTAATTTTTGTATTTTTTAGTAGAGAAGGGGTTTCATCACGTTGGCCAGAATGGTCTCGATCTCTTGACCTCGTGATCTGCCTGCCTCGGCCTCGCAAAGTGCTGGGATGACAGGCGTGAGCCACCGCGCCCGGCTCCCGCTTCAGTCATTGCGCTTGCTGCTGGAAGTCTGTGCAAAAGCAAGCAGCCAACATGGTCCATCCCGGCAACAATCCTGCTTCATCCTCCTACCAATTGTAAGATTTAGCTAAGACGGGTTACGAAGGAGGAGTCTGGAAAAGGAGGGCTTAAGGAGAATGCCTGATTTGCGTGATCACTCTGGGTGCAAGGCCTGGACCCCCAGACTTCCTGTTCCACCCCGGGTTCACTCCCCATGCTCTCGGGTGGCACTGCCTCCCTCTTGGGCCCTCCTCACCACTTGAGGACCACTGAGGCATCTCCCAAAGGCACACAGGCGGCTGTCCTTGGAAAGCGTGGCTGCAGTCAGTGCTGCTCAGCCGTCCTCCAGGGTGTCGCCTGGCATGTTAGATGTATGACTTCATTTTTAAGCATGTTGGAGGAGATCCAAGAAGCTCTCTGTCTGACTGCTCTCCCTCGTTTGTATCCTTACATGCTTTCCTCGGTGGGAGAAGAAGGGGTGGCTGTGTTCTCTCAAGCTGAGAGCTGAACACAGCCAGGCTCCCCGTGAGACACTCATCTTTAACGCATGCGGCAGAGAATGTTTGAAGTCCACTCATCTGTCTTTTACGTTCTATTTTTAAATTTTGGCTTTATTAAGGGCATGGAATGTTTAGAAAGCCCCTTTGCAAGTCTACCCTTTGTCTTTTGTCAGTTCGCCACATCAGGAGACTGTGCAGAAACATTTCCCAAGACCAATGAAAGCAGCAAGTTCGCTTGTGAGGCCCAAACCTCCGTGGGCCTGATCTTTCCTGCCTCAGCCTGCACGGGGGATGGCGCGATGAAGAAGCTGAACGTGGCTAGAGGAGAAAACACGGGGTGTATGTATTCTCAAATGCGTGATGACGATTACCTGGCTCGAAACTATTTTCCTTTTAAAATTTTCAGAAGAATTAGTGCTCACCAAACAGCAAAGCTCCAAATTACACAGAAGAAAATGGATAGAGCAGAAAGGGAAAAGAGATATGTCCACAGTTAGAGTGAGAGACTTCAAGACTCCTTCACAGCAACAGACACGGACAGAACTACTCGACAAAATCAGCAAGGATCTAGACGATCTGAACTGATTAACCAATAGCATTTCATCGATATTTATAGGACGCTCCACCCAACAGTAACAGAATACACATTTTTCTAAGCATCCGTGTAAATCCACAAGGATAGAACACACATATCCCAGGCTCCTGGTGAAGAGAGTGATTGGCAAGTGGCCACAGCACATGTGATGGGAACCGCAGATCTCAGCAGCTCCTGTGACCCTCTGGCCACTGCTCACACCCTTCAGCCATGGCTCACTTCCTGTGGCCAATGCTGACTCCCTCAGACCACACACCCCCTCCAGACATCGTTCACTCCCTCCGGACACTGCTCACACCCTCTAGCCACCACCAACTCCTTCTGGCAACTGGCCACACCCTCTGGCAAGCACCCACTCACTCTGACCACTGGCCACACCCTCTGGCCACTGCTCAAACCCTCTGTCCAGGTCCCATATCCTCCAATCACCGCTCATTCCCCTGGCCACCGCTCACTCCCTCTGGCCACAGCCCACACCCCTTCAGCCACCACTCACTCCCTCTGGCCACAGCCCACACCCCTTCAGCCACCACTCACTCCCTCTGGCCACTGCTCAATACCGCTGGCTATGGCTCACACTGTCCAGCCACCTCTCATACCATCTAGCCACTGCTCACACTCTCTAGTCACTGTACACTCCCTCGAGCTACCAATCACACCCTCCAGCCAGGGCTCACTCCAACCAACCACTGCTCACAGACTATGGCCACCACTCACATACTATGGCCACCACTCACACCCTCTGTTCGGGCCTCACTCCCTCCGGCCACCACTCACTCCCACTGCTATGCCTGGTCTTGCTCTGCTTTTGAGTTTTGTGTATGACATGAGCCGATGCTAACCTGCTGAGCACCCATTCCCGCAGGAGAATGCCACGTCCACAATGCACACAGGACAGATGGCAGAAATGGAGCCCCTGGAATTCAATGTATGATTTCCATCCACACGACCAGTCAGCATCCACTCAGACAGGCCAGACAGTGAGGGAAGAAAACAGACGTTCTTTGGAATCAAGGGACAATAACACATCAAGCACCAAATGCTACAAAAAAATCATGAAAATATGCCTTAAATGAGTCATTCCTAGATTAAGTTCCCCGCGCGTGAAAATGAGTCTTGGAAGTAGAAAGGGTGGGTTTGGTTCTGGTCCTAGGGATAAAAACATGCAGGCGGCTCCATCTACAGGGACTGTGCTACCGTGGTTCTGGCTGGTGTGTCTTTACTGAGTGGCTGTTGGAGGCTTTGCACGTGAAGTCACCTAACTGCTTATCTCGTCAGGAATTCTGTAAAAGCCCTAGAGAGAAAACCACATGGATGGTGGGAAAGGCCACACGTACGAGCTGTTTTGCTTTTGTTCTTAGTGAAGATCAGAAAGGAGCGTGAGGCTAGGTGCAGTGGCTCACACCTGTAATCCCAGCGCTGTGGGAGACGAGGCAGGTAGATCATTTGAGGTCAGGAGTTCGAGATCAGCCTGGCCAACATGGTGAAACCCTGTCTCTATTAAAAATACAAAAACTAGCTGGGCAGGTTGGCCCACGCCTGTGGTTGCATCTACTTGGGAAGCTGAGGCAGGAGAATCGCTTGAACCCGGAGGCGGAGGCAGCAGTGAGCAGAGATTGCACCACTGCGCTCCAGCCTGGGTGACAGATTGAGGCTCCATCTCAGAAAAACAAGAAGGAAGGAGCTGGAAGGTTGTGCTGGAATCAGACAAAGGGTGCCTGTTTCGGGTTGGCTGCCGGTGCTGGAATGCAGAGCTCCGAAGGCATTTGCTCATGTGCAAGGTTCCACACGGGAGTCCAGGGGAGGACCAGGCTGTCTTCATCACCACAGGAACTCAGGTGGCTACTTGGGTCCCTCTTCAGGTTTTTAGGTCCCTCTAAAAATGAAAACAAAGGTGTTATTGTTTTTAGCAGTTCCAGCCATCTGTCCAACATTGTGATGGAGCAGGCACCTGCGTTTTGCCCTACAGGGATGGTGGGGCTGTTCTCCATGGTGAAGACAAGGTTGGCCTCCTCCTGGGGCTGCCATTCTGAGCAGATCCCAGGCAGGGATGAAAAGGTCTGACCAGCAATACACCAGCAATACATCTCTGCCTGCGACAGCCCATCACTTCCACAGGAACCTTCCAAACCTTGGCGTTGTGTTCCTAAGTTCTGATTTGAGTCAGAACAATTTCGTTTTAAGCCCCAACTAGATAGAGGAAAGTGCTGGATAAAAATGAAAATGAGGCCGGGCGCGGTGGCTCACGCCTGCAATCCCAGCACTTTGGGAGGCTGAGGCAGGTGGATCACGAGGTCAAGAGATTAAGACCATTCTGGCCAACATGGTGAAACTCTGTCTCTACTAAAAATACAACAGCTAAGTGTGGTGGTGTGCACCTGTAGCTCCAGCTACTCAGGAGACTGAGGCAGGAGGATCGCCTGAACCCGGGAGGTGGAGGTTGCAGTTAGCTGAGATGGTGCCATTGTACTCCAGCCTGGCAACAGAGCAAGACTCTGTCTCAAAAAGAAGGAAGGAGGGAGGGAGAGAGGGAGGGAGGGAGGGAGGGAAGGAAGGAAGAGCAAGGAACAGAACAGAACATGAAGACGTGAAGATGAGGCCGTGGGCATGCTACCAACCAGCAGTCGGGACAGTTCCCCACAAGACACTGAGCCCTTGGAAGGTCCTCGCATTGACATTCCTCACAATGGAACAACTCAAATGCACAGCGGGCCTGCTGGAAACCCTCCCGAGCAAGGAAGCGTCTTCTGGGTCTGCCCTAGGAAGTCTGAAGAGAGACTTGGGAAAGGGCATGTCTGAGGCCGTGGCATCTCACCCAGGCACTGGCGTGTGGAGGCAGCGGATGACTAAGGGGTTCTGCAGGGAGCGGGGGTTGCAGGCGCGGCGGGATCCAGCCAGCATCACAGTCAAACTCCTGCACCCCAGCTTCGCCGCGACAGGGGAATCTACCTCCAACCCCCTCCCAGGGTTTCTTAGAGTGCCCTGAAGCCCCCGTGCGACAAAATCACCAGGGTCTTCACCCCAGACCTCCCAATCAGACTCCCGAGAAACATCCTTCGGTCTTCACAGCTAACAAAGGGCCCGTGCACCCCTAAGTTTGAGATCTGTTGATTCTGCAGTGCAGTCACGCTGGGGCCACGTGGGGGTCTGATGTGACTCTAGCTCTGCCCTTGTTAGTGGGGGGCCTCCTCTGTAGTGCAGGGAGGGTCCTGGGCTCTGCCGCCCAGGGCGGGACTGACAGGGGAGAGCTGAGGCAACCCTGCCTCGGCACCGTTGTGAGCCGGCTCCCCAGGCTGATTCTGAACCTTTGTCTCCAGCTCACCCAGGACAGCTGAAGACGTGGGAGTGGGCTCTGCTGCCTTGCGCCTTCCATGTCTTAAGGGGGACTTTTAGGGTCACCAGCTCGGTGCTCAGTTCCATGAGCACCTCCATGCACTGCAGACCCAGCGCAGAGGACTGGCTTCTCCTTTCCTGCCCTCTGCGCTCTGTGCCCACATGGCCCATGGGCACCGCAGGCTCCCACAGCACCCTGAACAGTGAGGAGGTCTCCATTCAGCTGTCCATCCCGGTCCTGTCTAAATGCGGGCAGGCTGGGCTGAGCTTTCTCCTGAAGGGCATTGCAGGCCACTCAGTGCCCAGCATGGGGCCACGCTGCCTCTCCCAGCAAGGGCAGCAGATCAGGCACTTTCCACCCAGCGGAGTACCATATCTCAAGGGCGGGGGGTCAGCTCAGGGCTGAAGGCAGCAGCGCTGGAGGTGAAACTAGGCCACACCTCAGTCCCGGGCCTCCCTGTGTGCTGTGGGCACCAGTTTGTAGTTTCTCATTTAAAGCACAAAATCAATGACAGCAGAGTGGGAATCCGTGGCTGAGGCACATTCAGCATTTGATGTCCTCTGTGGGTCAACTGTTTCCAATTAAAGGCGCTTTTTTCAAAGGTCTTTGAGCCTTAGAGACAGAAAGCCGACGGGTGGGTGCCGGAGGCTGGGGAGAAGAGTGGGGAGCGACCACCTGCTTCGAGGGGCCCACGTGTCTGGGGAGATGAGAATGCTGGGAACCGGTGAGGCGGCGGCCACACAGGCCTGGGAATGCACTGAATGCCATGCTCACTTCAAAACGGTGAATTGTAGGTTATATAAATTTCACCTCAGTTAGGGAAAAAAAACCATACTCACTTTGACATCATTGATAGTTCTTGGAAACTACAGCTTTAAGCAAAATGACATATAATGAAACCAATTTTTTTCCCCATCGACTTTATAACAAAATTGCGTTGCCAGCAAGGACGCTGCTGGAGGGCCTGTGTGCATGCTTCTCCCAAAGCCGCAGTTCCCAGGATCCCATCGGCCGCATTCCGTGAGGGCCTCCTGTGTTTCAAACTGTCCAAGGACTGGGTGAGACTTCATCAGAGATGAAGCTAGCAAAGGTTTGCCTGGCAGCCGCATGAGGAAGGCACAGTGCACACCCACCAGCGGGCAGCCCCTGGGGTCCCAGCGAGGCCCTGAGGCTCCTTCTTCCTCTTCCACCATCTCAGGGGTCCCCTCCCTGCCAGGGTCCTGCCAAGCCAGGCTTGCTGCCGGGCACCCCCCTGGAGGCCACTCCTACTTCCTTCCATCCCTCCCCCTCAAGACCCCACACCCCCACACCACCACCAATGCAGAGCTCCCCAAGCCCCTCCTGGCAGGGGACGCTGCCTCTCATCCCTGGCTCCCAGTGAGGTTCCAGCTCCTCAGGGGACAGGCGGGGTCCTCTCCGGCACTGACTCAGCCCCCACCCCCCGCCCCCTCCCACTCCCTCCCTGCTCCTGGCACACAGGGACACACCCAACCCATCCCCATCCCAGCAGGGGCTCCTCCTTGCCACCTCCTCCTTTCCGTGTGGTAAGGCTCCTTCCTCCCGGCCCCAGCGCCTCTGTGTGCCAGGCTGCACCTGCCAGAGCTGCCCGGGACTAGCTGTGATCTCTGTTTTCAGCCCAAGAGTTTGACACCCTGGCGCCACCAAATCACTGCTTCAGAATTGACAACCACTTGGACACTCCCTGGTTCTTTATAGCAAGACCAGGCTGCATTTAACAGACCCTAGAGGTCAAATGCCAGGAACGAGGTGAGCTGGGGAGGGTGCTGCACCCACCTCCATCTGCTCGTGGATCCAGTCCAGGAAGGAGGTGATGCGGGTGTAGACCCCAGGCTTGTTCACCTCGGCGCAGCCAATGCCAAAGCTGGTTGCTCCCACCAACTTCCACAGCCTCCTCTCTTGACACACCAGGGGCCCCCCACTGTCCCCCTGGGTGAAAGAAAAGAAGCAAAAGTCAGGGGACAGGCACTGCCCTGCAGGCTGCTTGCTGCGGTGGTGGGACCCTCATGATGTGACAATGGATGACCCAGGTTACAGAAGGGAACACACCGGCCCTTCCAGACATGGCATCCCCCAGAGAGGGGTCCCTCAGCCCCTTCGGGGTGCTGCCTCCAGCTGTGTGTTCCTTCCAGAATGCAGACCCTGACCCTGGGAAGCCCAAGGGCAGCTGGAGAGGGAGGGTCCACCTGGCCGGGGCCTTCAGGTGACCTGTGATCCACCTGGTAGAAGTGAAATGTGGCTTTCGGAGGGCCAGATTCACCGGTTCCCTGCCGCCTTCCTCCTCGGCGGTCCCCCACAAAGTCAGAATTGGAGACCCCTCCCACCAGCCAGCACCCACGCAGAGCCGGATCACTGGGTAAACACATGCCTGGTGGCCAGGAAAAGGAGTGATATCTTGAGCAAATTTCTTCTCCACACCCTGTAAATTTACTTTTTGCTCGGTCACAGGGAAACGCTAGCAACGGCCTGTCCCAAGGGCTGGGTCACCCTGCCACGGCCTCGCCCACCGCCATGGCCCCGTACCTGGCAGCTGTCCACACCGCCCTTCAGGTAGCCCGCACAGAGCATGGAGGGGGAGATGATGCCGCCATACACGTCCCTGTGGTTGCAGATCTTGTTGGAAATCAAAGGGACGGCCGCGTGGTTCAGGACGGGGGAGGCGTCGCCTGCTTCAAAGCAAGGGAGGGAATGTGTGTGAGAAGGAAGCCTGGCTCGTGTGTGCTGGGACGGGGGGATGAGGGAATGAGGACAAGGGGGCGCTGCCTCACGAGATGCAACAGGGCCCTGCAGGTGGGCCGGGCAGACCCCCGCTGTCTCTAAGCACGCCAAGCCCAGAGCTTGCCACCTATGCACAACTGCAAGGGCCACTCTGCTTCAAGGCAGAGCCACTGACTCTTCTCAGGTGTCCACAGTGGAGGAGGAGGGGGGCGACAGTGGCCAAGGCACCTGCCCAGGGCACCAGCCCCATCAGCCATCAGATGAGTGAGTCCGCAGGGGCCCTGCCTCTCCACCCCAGGTTATGGGAAGGAAACTGAGGCTCATGGAGGTCGCACACTCAGCGTCTCTGTGAACTCCGGGGTACTCAGCAGACAAATGACCCCCAAAGATATCCTCACCCCAATCCCCAGAACCTGTGACTGTGTCACCTTACAGGGCAAATGGGACGTTGCAAGTGCGGTGAGGGACAGGCCTTGAGCGGGGAGAGGATCTTGAGTAAGAGAGTGGACCCGAGGAAGTCACAGGGATCCTCGGAGGAGCCGGAGGAGGAGCTGTGACCACAGAGCAGGGACCAGAGTCAGACAGAGATTCGAAGATGTGGCGCTGCTGACCTGGAAGACCAAGGACAGCACAAGCCAAGCCGTGGGGCGGAGCGCAGAGGCCGGGAAAGGCAGGGGACGGGCTCCCCAAGGGAGGAGGGCTCCCCAAGGCAGGGGACGGGCTCCCCAAGGCATCCAGGAGGAGCCAGCCTGGCCCACACTTGACGCCAGCGCCCTGAGACTGAGTTTGCACCTGTGACCTTCCTAACTATGCGATGATACCTTTGTGTCATTTCAAGCCACAAATTTGGGGTCATTTGTTGCAACAGCCACAGGAGACTTAATACACCTCCAGTGGGCCAGATGCACCCCCAACACTGAAGTGCACCACAACACCAAAGGGCACCTGACACCAAAGGGAGGGACCCTCCAGCTTAGCCGCTTTGTGACCCAGCCACCTTGTCGTTTTCTAGACTCAATACGGCAGACCTCAGTTCCTCGCAGAGGTCTCAGCAGGTGGCGAGAGGGCCTGCTCTCCTGAGCACTGGGACCTCACGTGTGCTGTGAGTGAGTCCGCAGGGGCCCCGCCTCTCCACCTGTGTCCTCGCAGCGGGGTCTGCCCGCACGGCTGCGGGGAGACCTGTTCATTCCTGCTCGCCCCACAGGCAACAAAACGTCACAACGGCGGGGCCTGAGGGGCCACTCGAGGAGCGCACGGTATCACAAGACACTCAGCTTTGTGCCCAGAATGCAGCGAAACAGCTCAACGCGTTGTGGGAGAAGGTTCCAGCACAGGCTGGGCTGTAGTGTCAGGAGCGGGGCTGGTTGGACCTTTTGTGTTGGACAGAGCAGACTGACAGCGAGAAGCAGGATGCAGAGGGATGGAGGATCTCCTGGGAGGATGCAGCTGTCGCTCAGCCCCCTCTTCAGAGCCCAGTGTGACGGGCTGGGTGGTCCTGAATGAGAGGTCCTGGGTAAGGAGGGAAGGGGAGCATAGCCTGGTCTCCCAGCTCCCACCGCACAGGAGGGGTACTGGTCCTGCTGAAGCCGGAAGGGCCCTGCCAGCCACGCTGGGACAGAGCTGGGACGCGTGGGTGGGTTGGAAACTAGAGAGCTGTGAGTGCCCTCAGCCAGGTAGGCAGCACTGCCAGCGGGCAGGGGGTACACAGGCCGCACAGACCCGAAGCATCCGGGTCAGCCCCTGGTGCCTTCAGCAGTGGGTCGGCTCAAGTAATTGGAGTAGAGAGGAAAATCCTGAACTTGCCGTCGGGCTGAACTGTGGGCCCCTCCAAAATATGCCTTCCTGCCACCATGGAGCCCAAACTTATTTGGAATATGGTCTTTGCAGATGTAATTGAGGTAAGGATCTCAAGATGAGATCTCTCTGAGTTTAGGGCAGACCCTAAATCCAACGACTGATGTCCTTATAAGACACGGGAGAGGGAAATTTGAGATACAGAGACACAGGGCAAAGCCACGGAGAATGGAAACGGGCTGGAGATCCAGCTACAAGCCCCAGAACACCAGGGCGGCTTCAGCCACCAGAACCCAAAGGAAAGGCGTCGGAACCTCCAGGAAAGCCACCCTGCAGACACCTCAATTGGGTGTGGCAATAAATCTCCATGGATTTTGTTTTGTAAAGGCAAAGTCTCACTCTGTCACCAGGTAGGAGTATGGTGGCATGATCACGGCTCACTGCAGCTTAGAATTCCTGGGCTCAAGCAATCCTCCCACCCCAGCCTCCTGAGTAGCTGGGACCACATGCCAGGCTGTTTGTTGTTTGTTTTGAGATGGAGTCTCACTCCATCACCAAGGCTGGAGTGGAGTGCCACAATCTTGGCTCACTGCAACCTCTGCCTCCTGGGTTCAAGTGATTCTCCAGCCTCAGTATCCTGAGCTAGGATTACAGGTATGTGCCACCATGCCTGATTAAATTTTGTATTTTTAGTGGAGACAGGGTTTCTCCATATTGGCCAGGCTGGTCTCGAACTCCTGGGCTCAAGCAATCCTCCTGCCTTGGCCTCCCAAAGTGCTGGGATTACAGGTGCATGCCACCATGCCTGGCTAGTTTTTGCATTTTTTTGTGGAGACAGTGTCTATGTTGCCCAGGCTGGTCTCAAACTAATGGCCTCAAGAGATCCCATGGACTCGGCCTCCCAAAGTGCTGGGATGACAGGTGTGAGCCACACAGCTAGCCAATTTCCATAATTTTAAGCCACCCAGACTGTGATAATTTGTTACAGCAGCCACAGGAAATGAATCCTCTTCCTACTAACAAGAAAGCGATCAATGGAAAACCTTAGGCTCGTGACCAGCTCTGTGCCCACACTTAGGAAAGGGCAACCCAGGCTTCCTCCGAATGGTCTGTGACTACTGCCACCCCCGCCGCCCTCGTGTTACAACAATCCCATCTGCTGCTTCTTCCACTTGCTCCTTGTAGGATGAAAGAAGACATCTTCCAAAGTCCCAAAAGGCAACGGGTCTTCACAAACACGAATCTTTGAGTTCTGAATGAAGCCTGGGAGGGTTGCCTAGGTGGGCTCTGTATGTTCCCAGTGAAGGCCGGGGGTCCGGGCAGGGGAGGAGAAACACCTGCTATGTTTAAGGTCTAGCTCTCCCCTGAGAAGGTCTGTGGTGTCACATTGTCCCCATAACAATGGAACTGTGCCTCCCGACCCACAGCTCCTCGGCTGACTGTGTGTCCTGAGCAGCTGACACACTCCCTGGCTAGGGTATCTGGGAAGCTCATGGGAACATCACACTGGGATGTTGGAGGAGCCCCCTCCACAGCCCACAGGGTCCTGGGCTCCCGGGCTCAGAATCTTGGCTCCAGCCCACTGACCTCCATCCTCTGTGGCCCCCCATCCTGAGGTCCAGCACACTTTTCCATCGGGGAAGTTCTCTTCAGAGTTGGGCAGGCACACAGGCTGAATCATCTCTGTTTAAAAGGAAACAAGAGTTCTTAATGCCATTGAGGGAGGAGAAAGCAATTCATCTCATCAGTGCTTATGCCTCTGTGGAGCACAGACTATCTCCCAAGGGAAGGTCAAGCCCTTGGTTACTAGAAAGCAATCAGCTCACAGCAGGAGCCCCATCCACCACACCCAGAGCACTTAAAACTGTGAACCAGCCCTCCCCGTGGCAGCAGGCAGGGGTCTAGATCAGGGTCAGCACATTTCTTCTGGGAAGGGCTGAATACTCAACGCTTTAGGCTTCGGGAGCCGTGCAGTCTCTACAGCGGCCACTGGAGCATGAACACATCCCCAGGTACCCACATAGGTGTGGCTGCATCCAGTGAAATGTCTATTTGCCAAAACCTGACCCTCAGGCCACGCGGGCCCACTCCTGGTCTAGATCACAGTGTGCGCACTGCTTATGAAACATGGCTCCACGAATATTCCTATGGTCCCTGAGACGTCTGGAGGTGGCAGGTTTGCCTGTGTGTAGGGCTGGGTCCTGCGGGCCTCCCCCAAAGCCAGAGTGCCCTGCGGGGATCCCAGGCTTTCGTGCAAACACCCCGAAGTGCCCTCAGCTTTTCTGTGCAGAACAGTAATGAAGAGGTAGAGAAGGAACACCAGAGCTCACTTTAATTTCTGCCAAAGTACAAGTACCGCCACCTCGTTTTCTGTAACCAAATACCATTAATCATGGTCGGCAAACCGGCCCCGCCACAGCCCTTCTCCTACTCTGGAAATGTCCATTTCCAGGAATGACGTGTCCATGTGATGGATGCAGTATTGACTCTGCCAGGTAGAGCCTGCAGCTGCTCTCAGTGAGAGGGAATTCACCTGTTTAGTATGCTCCCCCTGCTTTCTTGGGAAGGAAAAGGGCTTCGATTTATTTGGGAATAGGCTCCTAGTTCTTGGTTTGCGTCTACCGATGTTTGAAAGTTTTATCAGGTGTGGCTCTTCTGGCATTTTTGTAATGTCCAGAGGGCAGGGCCTGACTTTTGCAAGAAACAGGGTCTTTAGGAGCTGCTGGTTGGGAGAGAACTTTCCTGTACTTCCGGGGAGCTGAGGGTGCCCAGCATCTTTCAGCCTGTAGAGAGATGAGAGGACACTGCCACACCAGCTGGCCAGCCTGGGAGGTTCTGTCCCTCAGCTAAGAGGGCCCTTGTACCTGGAGAAACCAGGCAGGTGGGTGGCACTGGCTGAGGTGGCCCCTCCACAATGGGTGCCTGGACAGGGAAGTGCTCTTTGTCACCACAGCTGGGTGACTCTCTTCCACCACCTAGAGGCCCCAGGTGGTCTGGCCTTGAGAAGCTCTTCCAGCCTCCAGATGGCTCCAACAGGGAGAAGATGTCACCAGACAAACCACGCAGCACACGAAGGCGCTAAAATTGAGTCATCATTGGAACTACTGCCCACCCATCTATCGTTCTATGTTCCAGGATCTATCTACAAACCACACTGAAATGGGGTAACGTTGAAAATGGTAGAGTCAACAAGTCTGCAAACAGGAGAGCCAGGATACAACTGAAAATTACTCGTCGTGCCAAGAACTAGGAACATTACGACTTTAATGAGAAAAGATAATCAACTGATGCCAACACCAGCATGAATCAGGAGTTGGAATAATTAATTAATATCTGACAAGGATCGTAAAGCAGCCATCCTAAGAATCCTTAAATGAGCAATTGCAAATCCTCCTGAAAAAATGAAGAGCAACAGCCCCACGTGGAAACCCAGACGTACCGTTGAACGTGAGCGGCCCGGCCAGCTTCATGAGGGCGATGTCATGGCCCAGCCTCTTTGGCTTGTACTTGCTGTGGTAGACAATCTTCTCCACCAAGTGGGATGGGGCAGGACTGTCCAGCAGGACAACTAGACCCACCTGGATGGTCCACGACTTGGGGAGGTACAGGCTGAAATGAGAAGAGCACGAGGTGAAGCGCAGGAAAAACCCAACCACTGAACTCGTCGACCTCAGGTGTCCTGAAAACCTAGGAAGACGGTGACAGAGGTTAGCAGGCGGTGGTGGCCCCGTCCTATGTTGACAGTGTAACAAGCACAGGCTCTTGTTTGTGCTGCACATGCAACCGCACTGCCATGCCCTGCAGAAACACAGACCCACACCCCCTGTGCCTCCCAGACAGGCCCCACTCTCAGCACCTCTGAAGCCTTCTTGGCATATGAGGGCTGAGCTCAACTTGGCTGACTGCAAGCAGTCTATCGGGCCCATTCTTCATCAAACAGCAACAAAATAGGGGGTAAAAATTACGTGAGAACCATTGTGTTTGGAAGGCTTTTCTGTAGCTTTCTTGCACTCTAAGCTCCTGAGATTTTAAGAAAAAAAGAGTTCCAGAGCCTGGCCCCCAACATGTACCCTCTAGCCTACCTCGCCAGCATCTCACCCTATCTCTGCCATAACGTGGTCCTCCGGAATTAGCTACGGGAAGGTCTAGGGCCTTTGATTTTTGTAGTTTTCCTCCATCACACGAGCTTCCTCCCTCCTCTGTCTGCCCTTTCTGTAGGAGCTGCAATCCTTAAAACAAGCTCAGGGCACCAGTCGCCGATAGAGATGGGGCCACCGTGAGGCTGGAGGCATCTCTCCAGCTGGACGTTACTTGGGGGTTGGACTCTCCGCCTTCCCTCTGGAGCCCCTGCCCTCTGCCCAAAGCAGCTCGCCTCACCCGACATGACCCAGGCATGAACAGGGGTCTGGGAAGACGGTCAGCAGCACTCACTCGTAAACACAGTGTGCAGCGGTGACGATCCACAGGGGCGTGATGACAGAGCCCCCGCACAGGTGGTAGCCCTGGAACTGAAGGCTGGCCTGCCAGGGCCACTGTGAGAGCGAGGACACGTTTCCACCCACGATGCGTGCGCTGTAGCCCCTTCTACGACCGCAGGCTAGGAGGGGAACAGGGCTTGTGGGTCCACCCTGCAGACCTCTCTAGGGGACATGGTGTACTACCATGCACCTGCTCCTGTCTCCCCACCCTCACTGCCCCGCTCCCAAAGCTCACAGCAGTTCCACGACAAGTGCTGTAAGAGGGGCTCAGTGGGGGAGGTGGTCAGGCTTCTGGGGAGACCTGAGGATGGTGGGTGCTGTGGGGGGTGCAGTGGGAGAAGCACCTGCCTTGCTTGGTCAGTGCCCGGCGTTGGCAGCCCCACCCCCTCCTGTCCCCTCGGTGATGACAATACCCTGGGATATCAGGAGCAGCCCCCTCTCACTGCCACCAGTGCACGCACCTCCCTGACTGCTCCAGACCCCACCCCTGCTGTGTGAACACTCCCCTCTGCCAGGAACGAGGGGCACTGCCCCGGGCCTGGAGTGGGCACCATGCAGGTGTAAGGAGGAAGCAGTACTGAGTCAGGGACTCAAGGCTCTACAGAACGATGGGACATCATGGACCTTGGTCCTGTCTGCAGCTAATGAGTCCCTCTGGCTGCCTCTCCCACCTAACAGGTGAGGCTGGCAGGTGAGGAACTGCTCTCCTCCTCCGGCAGGTAGGGGTACACAGGGTTCCCGCCTGGCACCGGGGAGGAAGGGACACAGAGCAGCACGAGGAGAGAGGACTCTGAGGGCGGGGAGATGGGACTCGGCGTGTGCTTGCTTCCCCTGGAGGCCTGTCTTTCTAGAACTCTTACCTGTGCACTGCAAGGTAACCACATGGCCAGAGGCGCAGCCCTCCCTAAAGTGGAGAAAAAGTAGGCTCCGTGAACAATGCCCAGGTCTGTGAAAGGAACACTCTCAAAAACGTAATCTTAGGGTAACAGAAAAATAAATTCTGTTTCCCCCTCTCTTGAATATAGATGACAATTTTAGTCTATGTTAAAAAAAAATGAGGACGAGGTCACATGATTCATTCTAAAACACTCGACTAACAGTGAAGTATTGTGTATGCAATGGGCTGCTCTGTATTTCTAAGCTTTAGATAGTTAATGATAAAGGATGTGTAAGGGGATCTGTTCTATCACGCTGTCACTGCAGGGCGATTCAGCCCAGTGTTCTCCACCTCCTGGCCCCTGGGGACACAAGAGTTCCCAAAGGATAGTGTGGCGAGCCCTCCAGGACTCCTTGCAGCCTGGGTTCACACACCTGGCAGAGGGCTCCTTCCCCAGAGCTACCGTGTGACTGCCCAGAACTGACGCTCCTACCCCCACCCCCACACACAGGTGGAGAACAGGGTGTGTGCTTTGCTCATAGTGAAGGGAAGGCGATCCCCAAACCTCTGTGATGTTCTATCTTTTGAGCCCCAGCTCATCATGCAAGAGAAAGCTAGTGTCACCAGACTGAGGATTCAGCACCCAAGACATGAGCTGTCCCTCCCACCGCATGTGGGTCCTGCCTGCTTATTCATCCCCGACGGACAGACCGACAAGCTTTTTCCCGGAGCAGAAAGCACATCTTGGATGTTTGGGCCAAGATCTCAGGAAGAGACTATGGAATTGGATTCAGAACACTTGGCTGTATCTGCTACGTACCATCGAACCCGGGGCAAGGCAGGTGGTCCCTGTCAATCTCAGGTACCTGACTGTTTTTTAAGGACACCTGGTTTTACCTTCCCCATGAGTTGTTGGGGAAAACATGTAAAATAAATAATGAATGCTGAAGTACTTCGTAAACAAAGAAGGATACATTTCTATCTTAATTTCTGGTTTTTCCTTTGCCCTTCCTCTTTTCCTCCCCCTCCCTCCCTCCTTCCTTCCTTCCTCTTTTCCTCCCACCCTCCCTCCCTCTCTTCCTTCCTTCCTCTTTTCCTCCCACCCTCCCCTTCTTGCTTGCCTGCTTTCATTCCCCAGACCCGCCCAGAGTGCCTGTTACCTGACAAACTAACCCTACCTGGTCACACACACCGCGCTGCTACCCTTCTGCTCTATTTCCTTCCCTTTCTTTGTTGGGCCGTATTTGCCCAGTTGGGACCGGGTTCTCACACCTCCGGCCCGGTGGATCCACCGGTCTAACCAAGGTGGGTCACTCCCACCGGCCATCTGAGATAACACGCTCGTGCCTCTGAAGTCCTTGTGGAGCCGAGCACAGCGCCACAAATCCAGCAGGTGGCTCGATGCCCTTGCAGACAACAGCATCGCCTGACCACCTACCTCACATACACCGAGTGCTGTAACGCCGTCACCTTGTCATCTGGCAAGAGGTGATTGATGGACACAAACTCCCCTCGGAACTGCTCCTCCAGCGAGCTCACTCTGAGGTTATCTGAACTTACATAGCTGCAAGCACATCAGAAACACAGACCCGACGTGTTAAATTTACCCTTTGAAGCATCCAACCTGTGTGCGAGTCACAATATTATAGGGATTGTACATGGGGGATGTCATTTGTCCCCCCCCAAACCCATCAAAGGCTTCCTTTTTCCAAGAGAATGAAGCTCACTCACCCTGGCAAGGCATTTGTTCCAGGCCTGCTGTGTTCTGGGATGACCCCTGCTTCTGGCCTGCACCCAGCGGCCGCATCCACCCACCCTGGGTTGCAGCCGCACGGATGAATGACCACCTCCTGATGTACTTGAATGGGCCACACCCTTTACACACTTAGCTGAAATGCCCTTTGCTTGGCTTGAAGCAAGTCCTGAGTGGAGCTGAGCACAGAACTAAGCCCAGTATTGTCCGGGGGCACCAAAGCAGGGACACCAAGTCCCCTAGAACAATGAGGAGAGACGCCCCTCATCTGCCCAGGACCAGCGTGGGTCCCCACTGAAAACAGAGGAACACGTACAAGAAAGTGATTCCATGAACATCAGGGCCCAGCTCACGTTTAAAGTACCAGGATGCGGGGCTTCTGGAGAACAGTGGTGAAAGTGGCTTTGCAACTTTTTTTTTTTTAATCAAATGTTTAGAGTCACGAGATGGAAAATGGTGAATAAACAGTCATGTTACCCTTTCTTTGTGAAAACGCAGTGCAGAAGGCTTGCTTTCATGGTGAGCACGCCAGCTCACCCACAGGATTCATCAGCTTACTGTAAATGCTACGGAGACGTGTATGTGAAACAGAAAGTTCAGTCGACTTGGAGTTTTAAGGAAAATGTAATCATGGCAGCGGGCAGCCCTTCCAAGGACTGCTGAATGCACTGATACCGCGGGCACTGGCGTGAAAGGGTGGATTGTGGCTGGGATGGCCTGGTCCCAGTGCCAGTGGCAGGGCTTGTGCCAGGCAAGAAGACCCCAGAGCTGCAATTGGAGCCTCATAAACTGTTCGAGTCTCAAATGCTAACAATGGCAGCCGCAGCCCCACGCTCCCCCAGCGTGCTGTCGCGCACCAAGTGCTCCCACCCTCACGGGGTCATCGGAACTTACCACACCCCTCAAGGCAGGTGCTATTACCATCCCTGCTTTCTAAGGAAGGAAACTGAGGCAGGAGCTGTGTGTGCAACTTGCCTGAGTCTACACTGGGATATGAACCCAAGCAATCTGGCTTGACAGTCTGTCCTTCCTTCCTTCCTTCCTTCCCTCCCTCCCTTCCTCCCTCCTTCCCTCCTTCCTTCCTTTTCTTTCTTTCCTTCTTTCTTTCTGAATCACAGATATCTGACATAGGATTAGTAGAGCAGAGAATATTAAAGAAGGATTTTCAAAGAGAATTTAAAAATATAAACAGAACAAAATGCAGAAAGAAATCTTAGACACTGAAGCAACAGCTAGGGAACGAAAGCACAGCCTGTAGAGAAGAAAGCAGGCAATGCTGTGAGAGACAGGGGGGCTGGCACTCCCTGGACTTCCTCGCAGACGGAGCATGTTGAGTGTAAGAAAGAATATTGCACCAAACAGACCAGAGTGGAAGACAGACGGGAAGGCTGTGCCACCGTGAGGCGGCCTCTAACTGGTCCCTCGGACAGCTGGGGCCCCTGCTTGGGTCGCTGGTTGGGAAAGGAGAGGGATTGAGCTGAGTTTTTCTGCATGACAGAGCAGAGAGGCCTTGGGGTTCACTCAGAGAGAGGGGTGGTCCTCCAGGACAGAGAAGGAATGCAGAGAGAAGAGAAAAGGAGGCCCCCCACACCCCACACCCAGTGAGTCAGAGGAAGAGGCTCAGCAGGGAAGAGAAATGCCCAGTGGGAAAGCTCTAAGATATGTGCAGTGTGTGTGTACAGTGTGTGTGTGTACCTCTTCTCAGCTGTGTGCAGTGTGTGTGTGCAGTGTGTGTGTGCAGTGTGTGTGCAGTGTGTACCACTTCTCAGCTGTGTGCAGTGTGTGTGTGCAGTGTGTGTGTGTGTACCCCTTCTCAGCTGTGTGCAGTGTGTGTGTGCAGTGTGTGTGTGCAGTGTGTGTGCAGTGTGTACCACTTCTCAGCTGTGTGCAGTGTGTGTGTGCAGTGTCTGTGTGTGTACCTCTTCTCAGCTGTGTGCAGCGTGTGTGTGCAGTGTGTGTGTGTGTACCTCTTCTCAGCTGTGTGCAGTGTGTGTGTGTGTGTGTGTGTGTGTGTGTGTGTGTGTGTGTACCTCTTCCTCTGGGGAGCAATACTTAATTCCTTAAGGCGTTAGCGTGGATGATTTTTGCTGTTCTCATTGAACTTGAATGGCAGCTCATTTCTGAATCTCAGCTGGTGTGGAGGGAGAAGGAGGCAGACCTCAGGGCTAGAGACTGGAGGGTAATTTGGCTTCACCAGCTTTGGAGAAAGAGAGCCGAGAATATAAAGCACAGAATTTGAAAGTGGAGTCTCTGTGGAGGACTCAGGCAGCGTGGCTTTAATACCCCATCGTCCTGAGTGCGAAGCAGAATGCAGCCTGCCTGCTCTGAACACTGAGGATTCAGAGCAAAGGAGAGGAAGGAAGATGCTGGGGAGGCTGCGGAGGTACAGCGGCTGCAGGAAGTCAGAAGGAAGGGGCCGGGGAGAGGCCCAAACAGTGTCACCCCAATGCAAAAAGTCACGTAGGCAACACCAGACACTAAAACGTGCACAGTCAGCTGCTATGGTCCTTTGCTCTACGTGTTGCCAAACAACCGTTTTGAATGACTGTGTCTTCACTACATTTCTGACTTTGAACAGTCGGTTCTGTGGTGACCACCAGGACCAAGCGGGAAAGTGTCCGGGAAGCTCCTCCAGAAGCTGCAGGCCGAGGAGCTGGAGCGCTCGTTTACCACCTGTGCGTCTCCGGTCCCGGCCTGGCTCCGAGAACCCCAAACACGCCATTTCCCAGGCGCCTCAAGCAGGTCACTTAGCCCGTCTGGCCTTGGCTTGCCTGTAAAGCGAGGATGGTATTGGGCAGCCCCAGGCGGCTGTGAGGACGGAATGTGAGAGCATTAAAGCGCCGACGGCGCCCAACGGAACGGTCACTGTCTTTCTTCACTGTCATCCTCTCTGTGTTTGCCCAGGGTTTGGAAATGCTCTTTCACTTACCTTGGGAAACCCAGCTGGGCACAGGCAACATTTGCATAGTGACCCTTCCAGTCATCGGAGCACATGGTCTTCCACGAGGCTGCTGTGAACACCTGGAGCACAGCATTCCGGCCGCTCACCCGGACTGGCCGATGCGCAGGGAGAAAGGCTCATCAGGGGCCAGTGGAACCCTGAACCACAGGCAGGGGCTTCTCCACAGCCAGCTCCAACCCCTTCTCTGCTGAATCTGACCCACTCCTTGTCCCTGGACTTTCTCATAGAGGGAGCACATTAAGCGTAAGAAGACTCCCCGTTACAGAGCAGTGACTCTGGACCCCCTGAGACTTCTCGGTGGTCTCATTGCTCATGTGGTCCATGGAAGGCCCTCCCTGACCCCCCGTCCAACATGTCTTTGGGCAAATGCCGGTTCAATGACCTAAAAATGGCAGTGACTTGGACCCATTTCCCAGATGGGAAGGGTCAGGGTTGGCCTCTGCTGCTTCCGTCTGCTTCCCTGGGAAGAGCCGTGACCTTACCACAGCGGTACTCATCCTCCCCGCCTTTGCAGTCTGAGACTCCGTCACATCGAGCTGTCAGCTCGATGCACTTAAAGGATGAGCGGCACCTGTACTTCCCTGAGCAGTCGAAGTGGACTGGGAAAAGGGAGGAAGGCAGGACATGACCAACAGCTCCTCCAGTGCGCGGCACTAACAACCGTCCACCTGCCACGCAGCGCGGAGCCGGCCGGCGAATAATGAAACCTGGATTGAAATCACCTCCCTGTTTCCCCCAGCCCAGTTTCTGTTTGGAATTCCAAGGGGTGGGGCTGCTGCGCCCCACTTTGTCTCACTAAGTGGCCTGGCCCGGAAACCACAGTGCAAGGTGAATTTAGACTCTGGAGGGCTCAAGGTCAAGAGAGAAACTGCGTGGCTGGGCCGACCTGCTGAGCCGGCCGAGCGAGGAGTCCCGACTGAGAACTCCAACTCCCTGGGTTCTCTTACCCTGGGGGGAAAGCGAATGAGCTGCAGACCACACAGTGGGGCAGGTGGCGAATTCAACTGACCTGTGATTCAGCTACTTGAAACAAAAATTGTTCCCTTTTAGAGACCTTCCATCCAAATGACCCACTTTCTCAAAAGCCACATGCACCTTGTTATAAAAACAGCTGGTGCGCCTGCCTTGCGTGAATGGGCCCCTTTGTCTTGTTCCCGCTGCTCCGGTCAGCACCTCCTTCCCACCTTCGGGATTCTATTTCATCAGCTGCCTTTGGCCGCTCCTAACCGGGCAGGTTCCTTGGCGACAAAGTCATGAGCACGGCCAGCAGCCCGTGCTGTGCCCCAGACTGGCTTTACATCCAAGCAGGCAAATAAAACTTCAAGTCAGCAAACGAAAAGGATGTTTGCCTCCAGTAATTAAGGCTGGGCAGCAGCAAAATGCCGGAATGAGTGGGGGAGCTCATGAAAGTTTAACTACTTGGCCAGGTATTTGAGAACCTACTAAATAATGGATTGTACTCACTGCCCAGACCAATGGCCAGCGCTAATATCAGTGCGATGATCCCAATGACGATGATTGGAAAAAACTTCAGTGGCAGCAGTGACAGGATCTGTGCAGCAACCGCATCTGCATCTGAAAACCAGAAAGAAGAGGAAGGGCAGAAGGCCACAGAGCTCCACTTGGAGTGGCGAGAAACTCACAAATCTAGGTACCCATTCTCCTGCCCCTCTTTGCAGAGAAGCCTCAGTCCATCGAAAGTTTCTCTAATGAATGCCTTCATTAGAGAAAAGGCCACCCGCCAAGGGACACAATACCTAGAAGTTCAGTCATACCTGCTCCACCTTTGACCCTGTCCTTCCATGGGGGCTGAGCGGATGGTGCTATGGGTTGAATAGGATCCCCCAGAAAGACTTTTAGTACCTCAGAATGGCATCTTATTTGGAGATTAACTGGAGAGTGTCTACAGAGTCATCTAGTTGAAATGAAGTCATTAGGGTGGGCCCTAATCCAACATGACTTCTCCTTAAAAAAACGGGAAATCGGCCGGGCACAGTGGCTCACACCTGTAATCCCAGCACTTTGGGAGGCCGAGGCAGGTGGATCACCTGAGGTCAGGAGTTCAAGACCAGCCTGGCCAACATGGTGAAACCCCGTCTCTACTAAAAATACAAAAATTAGCTGGGTGTGGTGGCGGGCACCTGTCATCCCAGCTATACTTGGGAGGCTGAGGCAAGATAATCACTTGAACTCAGGAAGCGAAGGTTGCAGTGAGCTGCGATAGCACCACTGCACTCTAGCCTGGGTGACAGAGCAAAACTCCATCTCCAAAAAAACAAAAAGGGGAAATCAGGACACAGGGACAAACACGCGTGGAGGGAAGAGGATGGGAGGAGACACAGGCAGAAGTCAGCCTCACGAAGATGAAGGCAGAGATGGGAGCAATGCGTCTACACACCAAGAAACGCAAAAGATTATTGGGAAACCACCAGGAGCTACGAAGAGGCAAGCAGGGTGTCCTGTGGGTTTAAGAGGGAGCCTGGCCTCGATGACACCTTGCAATTTGGACTTCTGACCTCCAGAACTGAGACAATAAATTCCTGTTGCTTTAAGTCACCCAGTTTAGGGGTTTTTGTTTCAGCAGCCCTAGGACACTAATACACAGGGGCAGTTCCCCTTCAGAGGAGGGTATGAAACTGGCACGGGGGACTTGCCGACCAGAGGTAGTGCTGGGATCTGTCAGAGGGGATGCAAGGACATGATGTTAATTTTGGTTTGTTTGTTTAAATTTTTTCTTAGAGCGATGGGGGTCCCACTACGTTGCCCAGGCTGATGTCAAACTCCCGGGCTCAAGCGATTCTTTCCACTCAGCCTTCCAAAGTACTGGGATTCCAGTTGCAAGCCATCATGTGCAGCCAAGGACAGGATGTTGATATCCCCTCTCCACACTTGCTGTGCACAGAGACACTGACAGCTTTTGTTCCAGATCATCTCTTCAAGAATGTGTGTAAAGCAAACATCCTTGAAATACAGAAATAGCATCTCCCTGCAGAGCAAGTGGCAGGTTTGTTAACTGTCCAGTTTCACAAATATAATGTCTTCCTCCAGAGCAAAATTTGCACAGGCCTGCTTGCAGCCCATTATAAAGATCAGGGTTTCCTTAACTCCAAGATGTGCAGCGATGCAAGCTGCCTGCACGTGCAGTGTACACGTAGGCTGCTCCACATGCCTCTGTGGGACTGAGAACGCAAAGGCATCAGCTAGCACAAACAGGACGCTTGTGCCTCTCGCTGCACTGTAAGGAATAGAGCCCCTTGTCTCTGACCCAGGAGTGTTGAGTCTTCTGAAGCACCCATGAAACTGTGGCAAGCTAAATTTTAGCTTGCAGGTTGGGTGAAATCTCAGGCCCTTCACAGTTCTTGCCCTGAGAACCAGGCCCATCTGGTGGGAACAATGTGTAAGCCGTGTCCAGATGCCTGCCTGGAAGTATGTCTCCCTGGGTAGCAAGAGAATACCCACCAGCACTCTTTCCTCCAGGGGAGAGGCAGGCCATTTCACAAAAATTACTTTATCAATCCTGAAAACACATCTATGCCCAAGTCACCTCTTTTAAAAATTTGGAAGGTTGGAATCCAGAAAGGGGAGGGAAGCCCGCCCAGAGTCGCACAGTTGCTCAGGACGAGACTCGCACCCGCCCCTCTTCTCCTAGTCTTGGACATGTTGAGCCAAGAGCTCTCTCATGGAACAGCTGAGAAGACCTTCCCCTGCCTGTCCATCGAGACTCACAACCTCACCCTCTGGCAATAAGGGGTGTGATTATGAAATGATCAATATCAGCAGAGGCTGCCTAAGAAACGAGAATTTGAAGATAAAAATGGTGAAAAGACAGGAATGCAAGGAGAAGACAGTGTGCAGAGGAGAGGGTGAGTGTGAGAGGTGGAGGAAGAGAAGGGCCACAGGAGGTACACACCACAGACCCAGAGGCTGAGAGGAACTCAGAGGGAGGGAGGACGAGAGATGGGCAAGCTCTGTGTGTTAGGCCTGGACAAGCTCAGCAGTTTGTTGAGGCTGCATTCTCCATGCCTAGAACAGCAGGGGCAACAGAGTAGTCCTTGATGAAAATGTGCTAGATGACAGGCCGGGCACGGTGGCTCATGCCAGTGATCCCATCACTTTGGGAGGCAGAGGCGGGCAGATCACCTGAGGTCCAGAGTTCAAGACCAGCCTGACCAACATAGAGAAACCACATGTCTACTGAAAATACAAACTTAGCTAGGTGTGGTGGCACACCCCTGTAGTCCCACCTACTCAGGAGGCTGAGGCAGGAGAATCGCTTGAACCTGGGAAGTAGAGGTTGCAGTGAGCAGAGATCATGCCACCACACTCCAGCCTGGGCGACAGAATGAGACTTGGTCTCAAAAACAATAAAATCACACACACACACACACACACACACACACACACACACACACACAGATAATACCTAAGTGAATGAACATGGCTGTGTTCCAATAAAAATTCATTTTTAAAAATGTGCTAGGTGAGTGAATGAATGACATCATGACGATGAAGTTGCTTTAACTCAGGATCTGAGACCACGTGCTTTCAGGACAGCCTGTCTGTGGTCTTGAGTTGGCAGAACGGATTCTCTCTCCACCCTCACACCTCGATCCCCAGCAAAGTAACAATTCTTCATATGAGGATGCCCACCCTCCATCTTACACTTAGAAATCTGCAGGAACCCCAGGAATGACCTCTTTGCGTTCCATCTGCTCTGTATCTAAGTTAGATTTAGAAAATAACCCCAAATTGTAAAATCAAAGATTAACATGTAATAGAAATTTTGTATCCTTTCCGTTTGCCCTGCTCCTCTGCCAGGCTGCCCTTCGGGCACTGCAGGGGCCGCACCCCTCCTCTGTGCATGGTCCTTGAGGGCATACCTGGAATACACAGTGAAATGTACAGCATTTCTCCAAAGAAGGAATGCAAATGGCACACAAGTGTGGAAAAGCTTTAGACTTCTTGACCAGCCTGGCCAACATGGTGAAACTCCATCTCTACTTAAATTATAAAAATTAGCTGGGTGTAGTGGTACATGCCTGTAATCCCAGGTACTTTGGGAAGCCAAGGCAGGTGGACCACTTGAGGTCAGGAGTTCAAGACCAGGCTGGACAATATGGTGAAACCCCATCTCTACTACAAATACCAAAATTAGCCAGCCTTGGTGATGGGAGCCTGCAGTCCCACCTACTTGGGAGGCCGAGGCAGGAGAATCACTTAAACCCGGGAGGCAAAGGTTGCAGTGAGCCGAGATTGTGCCACTGCACTCCAGCCCTGCAACATAGCGAGACTCCGTCTCAAAGGAAAAAAAAAAAGCTTTGACTTCTTGAGGAATGAAAATAATGTAAATTAGACATATCTACATACCAACTTCACAATGATTCATCTGAAGTGAAAGGAAATGGACCCCCACCTACAGTCCATAGGGGTAGAAATTATGTAAACTTCCCAACTATGTAAACTTAGAAACCAGAAAGCTCAAAAACAGATGAAAGTTTTGACCTAGCAGTTCCACTGCTAGGAATTTATCCTAAAATGTCACCATAGATATACACAAATATCGACCCCCAAGGACACTTAGAAGCATGGCACTTGTAATATTGATGCACAGGAAACAGACCAAATGACCCACAAAACAGAACGGGTGAAATCAGAAATGATGTACACATATACTAGAATACCTATAGGAGGACAAGATGACGTAGAAAAGGAGTTGGAGAGCTTTTTCTGTAAAGGACCAGATAGTAAACACGGTACTTTAAACTTTATGGGCCACGCCATCTGTCCCAACAACCCCACTCTGCTGTTATGACATGAAAGCAGCCACAGTATGTGAACAAATGAGTGTGTCTGTGTTACAATAAAACTTTATTTATAAAAGCAGGGGGTGGGCCAGATTTCACCCATCAGCCATAGTTTGTCAATATCTAGAAAATATTTAATTATTTAATGCCATAGAAAGATAAAGATGATATTGTTAATTTTTTTAAAAGCTTCAAAATATTATAAATAGTACATGTTACTTCCAAGAGGAAATACAGATCTACAGATAGAAGGCAAGAAATCTAATCATGAATTGCTAACAGGATTATCTCTGAGTAATGGTGCCATTGTGGGTGATTTTTTAAAATCTTTTTGCTGAACTGTATTTTCTGAATCGTTCTAATGAACAATACGTTGGTCTATTTACAAGGAAAAGTTTTTGTTCCTTCCCATTACTAAGAATTAGTCACAGCAAAATCATCGAAAAATAAGAGAAAGGAATATTATAGTGCTCTCAATATTCATATTATTTAAATTATATTAGGAACAACTACAGGTCAAATGATGACCAAATGGCTATGTAAATTGCATATCTACTTGATGGAATATTGCGATTCCATAAGATTTATAAAAACCTTTTATAGAAAAAACACCTGCCTATATCTGCACCGTGCATGAAACCACACTAACAGGCAAAAGCAGGAAGGGACTGAATGTGGACGTAAAAACCAGGGGAGTTTTGGGGGGGGTCGGTGATTACAAGACTTTTTTCTTTCATTGACACTTACGCTAATTTTGAGCCATATTCTTAAATAGTGTGTCTTTTCCGTTACTTGAAACCTCTTCTCCCACCTCTCATCCTTTCCAAACCTCCTCCAAGCCAATTGTCCAGGTGGTTTAAAAGGAATCAGTAGGGTGGCCCCCACTCCCGCTTTCTGAAACCTCAGGCAGAGCGTCTGTGGTTCCTCCCCAGCACCAGCAGGTCAGGATTCTGCTTGCATTCAAGCCTCAGCTTCCACAACCAGCAAGCCCACAGGTCCCTCTGACCCATCCTGACCGTCTCCCGTCAAAAAGATCCTAGCTGTATAGGTTGCTAGAGAGTCCATTGTTTTGCCAAGCATCTGTGACTCATTTACGAAACAACATTTTTCCTCCTCTGCTAGGAGCCACTCTGTCATCTGCTTCTGGATTTTAATCTAGGCCTCTCATATCTTTGGTGACATCCAGTGTACCCTAAGTTTTTGGAAGGACGAGTGGTCACTGCTTCTCAGGACATCCTGGGGGGCTCAGAGATTTCCTGATCAGCATCTGACCTCCTTCAGGATTGACAGGGCAATTGTGGAAGCCCAATCTCTGAAAATCTCCAACAAGAGAAGAAAACACCTGTCTCTAGGGAGTGAGCAAGCGGCTTAGCTGAACAATGCCCTCTCCAGTGCCCCTGCTCCCCGAGATTCCGCAGGTCTAGGGAAGTGCAGGTGTCCAGCCTGTGGGTGTCAGAACAGCTGTGGAGACATTTCTCCCACAGGGACACTCAGCTGCACTGGTCATCTACATGGGGGTATGGGCAGAAATCACAGGGTCCCCACCTGACTCTACCTACCTGGCGCAACAGGACTTATTTTCAAATCATCAAGGCCAAAAAGCGATCGGAATGAGAACGGGGCTTCAGCGGCAGGCGGATCGTTTTCCCCCATGGTGACTATTTCAGGACTTCTGACATCCGGCTCCACCTCCACCTCCACCTCCTTAGCGGAGGAAGAACAGAAAACATTTATTCACCTATTTATAGTTGTAGCATCAGGTGCATCTTGGTCACACGGTAAATCTTTGAAATTCGACAGTCCACACAAAGCGCATTCAGTATGGATTAATCAGAAACACTCATCTGTTAAGAATATATTTTGTCTGAGCCACGGCAGATAACAGAAAAGCTTCTAGAGTCAGAGAAGAAAGTATGAACTTAATTCCGCTAAGACAATGACTTTCCCGTTGTTTGTCCAACCAGTCTTCAAACTGATTGCGTAGCATACCTTTAGAGAGATTCCCTTTCACCATTTAGAAGTCACTGACCGTATCGTTATTCTTCGGAAGATAAATGACTCTCAAAGCCTTTTCCGTCGCTTTTTTGCAATTGTTTTCACCTGTCCCACATAAACGAACTTACCTGCACGTGGGGTACACCTACCAAAAACATAAGATACTCACATAATACCTGAGTCCCAGAAATATAGATGGCACCAGGGAAGGGATAGCTGGCCACAGTATTAGTAGCTTCCCACAAACTCAGCCCTTTCCTGGCTCACACGAGCATGACCTAATTAAGACTGAAAGTATCCAAGCCCGCCGGTGCCCAGTCCTTCGCCCACATAACAAAATGGGGAGTGGCTTTGGACCAATGGCTTGCATCAAAACAATCCTGGGGCTGTCTTTCCTAGGAAAGAATTCCACCTATCGCAAGGCAAAAGAGACCAGAGGCCTTTCCAAGTCGATCCCTGTAACCCCGAGAGGGCGGAGGAAGCAGGGAAATAGCAGAATGCTTCCAGTTAAACTCCAGTTCCCTCTTCCAGATATCAGGCATGGCTGCTCTGGGAACCGGCTTCCTCCCGGGGCTAAAATCCACAGAGGCTCCAGCAGGCACAGAAACACAGATAACCAGATCATGCGCTTTCATTCTAACCTGTGGTAACGTTTGGAATTCCAAAGGAAACCAGCAAGCCATTTAAAACAAACCGTGTTTCACATGGTCATAGTAAAATCTAAACAAGAGTTTTGTGCCAAAAATGTTTATCTCATTTCTATCACAAGAATAGCTTAGAAGAATATCTCAGAAAAACAAGAAGTTCACGGTGGGCCATTTTTGGCTTTCATTCTTGCTGATACCTCTGTTTACTATCAGCATGTAGCAAATTAGTTTATCTGTATCAAAAGAGTAAGTGGGAAAATGCCTTCTGAAAGATGGAAGCAGGGTGAGAACATCCCCTCCCAGACAGGCTGTGGTTGGCAGCTGTGCAACACTGAGAAATGCTGAGAGGCTTCTCTCCGAACACCCGTTTTACTCACCGTTTCTGGAGCTGCCATTATTAAAAGCAGAAATAATTTCCTCTTTCATTATAAAAACAGGTGTGATGGTAAGCAGGCCGCCAACAGGTTAGACCAATGGGGGAAGATTTTCCCCGAGTCACTCAGCCTTGCCGACTCAATCATCATAGCAAATGGCATTATCGCGGGCACCTGCGTAACCCAAGCTGCATGGAGCTATCAGGTGGCCCTGAGCGGTAAGGCTACGGAGACCTGGGAGGGAAAGATGTGGCTGCCCTTTCATTAGTCAGTAAGGTGAGCAAACCTTTTCAGAAACTTTGCCTCAGAGAGTCATTGGAACACACAGGCTCCTTTTACTTGAAAGAACCGCTGGGCCCTGTGCAGAGTCAGTGATGGCCGTCAAGAGGCAGGAACACTCTTTGGTGGGGGTTTCTGTCCCTCCCTGTAACCGAGCCCCCAAATTCAATTCTGCAGCTGCCCCGCAGACGAAAGACCAGGAGCCTGAAGATGGTCACTGAAGCCAGCACTCCACAAAAGACAGGTCATGTTTCCTTCCTCGGAGGCCTCTGCGTCCGGAGAGGCTTCTGCGTCCCAAGAGGCTTCTGCACACAGCCCTGCTTCAAGGGGTTTTAGCGGGAGAGGACGATTCCCTCCTGTTGTGAGGACCGGAGCTCCGAGCATCTTTGAAGAGCTGAATTTACCCTTGTGGATGGGGAATCCTGAATCCATGCATTTCTTCAGCAAATATTTAGCAAGCATCTGCCGTGAGTCAGGCTCTACACAGAGAGCAGACAGCAAAAAAGACAAAGCGCTCCTGTGGGCCCCCAGTGATAAGCATTAGGGAGAGATGAGGCGGGAGGGGCTGAGAGCGATGGGGGCAGAGTGGTGGCAGGACGGCCTCTAGAGAGAGTGAGGTTTCAGCAGGGACCCTGGTGACCAGTGAAGTGAGTCTTACAAAATTGTTCCAAGGAGGCGACCAGCAACTCCAAAGCCTGGAGAAGGGGCTGCGCTGGAGTGTTTGAGGAACCCCAAGAGGGACCGTGAGCCTAGAGAGCATGGAACGGGGAGTGCCAGGAGGTGCCAGTGGCAGATCCCGGGGCCCAGGGGCGTGGGGGGGGCTCTGATTTGCTCTTGGTGTGCGGAAGTGCTCGGGGGATCTGGCTGGGGCAAATTCGGATTGACAGGCAGGGCACAGAGTGGGGTAAGCCTGGGGGTCACGAGGAGGCTGCAGCTCACAGGCCTCGAGGGCCATGACTTGGACCAGGTGCTAGTGGTGCCGACGGTGGGGACTGACTGCCTGAGACTGATTTTGAAGGCAGAATTGGCGGGATGTGCTGACGGCAAGTGCCCGGCAGTCCATGTTGACGTCGGCCTCGCCCCCCTCCCGGTGGGTGCCTGCCCACATGCCTGTCAGTGCCCGTTGTCTCCTTCAGGCTCGCTTCTCTCTCCTTCACCTCTTCCCTGGCTACTCTCTCCGGTCCCTGAATGAACGTTTGCCCTCAAAGGCAATGGCAGGAAATTTAACATGCCATCCCTCCCTTGCTTTTCCCTGTGTGTGATAGGAGATGCTCCCGCCCGGAGTAAGCCGTCAGGGGACAGATTCTGGCATGAGCTTTCACTCCTAAGACCCTGCGGTGCTCAGCACAGCCATGTGTGTATGACAGGGGCTTTGTATACGTGGATGAGCTGACCCAGGGGAGCAAACCACACCACGTCGACACGCATAGCCAAAGACCAGGGCATGCTAGCACATGTGTCAGATGTACATTAAAGGTCAAACCAGCTCCCCAGGGGGCAGGAGGGAAAGACCCCACAAAAATGGCTACTCTTCCTCGCCATAAAATAGCCTCTCAGAAGTTTACTTACAAATCAGTTCCATGGAGCTCAAACTAAAATGTTAAGGAATCAGAGAAATAAGTGTATCTGAGGCCTAGCACACGACAGGCACAAAGCCAGTGCCATGAGCAGACTTGGTTTTGGGGCGCGAGCGCCTTATCCCGTCCTGATATCTCTCCTGGGAGCCCTGCAAAGCTTTAGTAACAATTTACAAACAGTGTGAGTTACAGGCACATTCTCTTCAGTAAGTGAGGGGAAATTGGTAGTCTCTTCCCTGTTAGGCTTGAAAGATGACTTTTCAAGTTGTAAAGGAAGGATTAAGCTAGATAGGACATCTCCTGGCTTACACAAATAAGGGTTTTTTTTACAAGAGAAATGCATAGAAGCATTTTTCATTTTATTTTATTTTATTTCAGATGCGAGTTTCGCTCTTGCTCCCCAGGCTGGAGTGCAATGGTGAGATCTTGGCTCACTGCAACCTCCGCCTCCCGTGTTCAAATGATTCTCCTGCCTCAGTCTTCCAAGTAGCTGGGATTACAGGCATGTGCCACCATGCCCAGCTAATTTTCTATTTTTAGTAGAGATGGGGTTTCTCCATGTTGGTCAGGCTGGTCTCAAACTCCCAACCTCAGGTGATCCGCCTGCCAAGGTGATGCACTCGGCCTCCCAAAGTGCTGGGATTACAGGCATGAGCCACCGTGCCCAGCTGCATTTTTCATTTTAATATGTTATAACCATAACACAATTGCTCAAAACAGGGTTTATTATTTAGAAGAGAAAAATATACCTGAGTAGAGACTATTTTTCACACACAAATCTGCTTTTTCCTTTTGGGTCACAAGCTTCCTCTATTTACAGACTTTCAAGTTCAAGATAAATCATTTGATTGTGGAATTATTTCATCTTTTGAGTTCCTCAAGGAAAAAGAATACTGAACTCTCAGGATATCATGCTAAGTAAAATAAGCCAGACAGAGAAAGAAAAATACTGCAGGATCTCACTTATATGTGGAACCTTTAAAAAAAAAATGTTGAATACATGGAGAATAAAGTGGGGGCTCTCCGGGGAGGGCGTGGGGGCAGGAAATGGAGAGGTGTGGGTCAAAAGGTATAAAGTGGCAGATGTATAGGCTGAAGAAGTCCAGAGACGGAAGGTACAACTGACAACCAGAGGTATAATGTCTTACTGAATAGTGAAAATTTGCCGAGAGCAATTTCAGTTTCTGTTACCATAAAAAAAGAAGTAAAAAAGTAACAATGCAAGATGACAATATGTTAATTTGCTTAATTATGGCACTCACTTCACTAAGTACAAATATATCAAAACATCACATTGTACACCTTAAATATGTACAGTGAAAAGAATATTATTTAAAAGTCAGACCAGGCATGGTGACTCACACCTGTAATCCCAGCACTTCGAGAGGCCGAGGCGAGTAGATCACCTGAGGTCAGGAGTTTGAGACCAGCCTGGCTGATGTGGAGAAACCCCATCTCTACTAAAAATACAAAAATTAACCAGGCGTGGTGGTGGGCACCTATAGTCCCAGCTACTCAGGAGACTGAGGCAGGAGAATCACTTGAACCCAGGAGGTGGAGGTTGCAGTGAACCAAGATCATGCCACTGCACTCCAGCCTGGGTGACAGAGTGAGACTCTGCCTCGAAAAGATCAAAATAAAAATATATAGATAAATAAATATCATAATATGCTCACATTTAATGGTGAAATACTAAGACCTTGTCCTCTGAGATAGAGAGTTATACAAGAAGGTGCACTAGTCCCACATCTGTTTGACATTTGACTTGGAGTCCAAACCAGCACAATAAAACCCAAAAAAATAATAAAAGGAACAGAGCTGCCATGAACATTCATAGACCAGTCTTTGTGTGGACACACATTTTCATGTATGTTTACCTTCATAAGAAACCATCCAAATGTTCCCCAAAGTGGTTGGACAGTTACGCATTCCCACCAACACTGTGTGAGAGTTCCCATTATTCCCAGCCTTGTCTAAACCTGGTATTGTCAGTCTTTTCCATTTTAGCTCTTTAGTGAGTGTGTTGTGGAATCACGCTGTGGTTTTAATTTGCATTTCCCTGATGACTAATGATGTTGGCACCTTGTCACGTCTATGTCTCTATATTCTTTTTGCAAGTAACTTTTTCGATATTTTGCCCATTCTTAAACTAGAAGCTTGTTTTCTTATTATTGATTATAAGTATCTATAAAATATTCTGTATATTCTAGATACAAGTCCTTTGCCAGGTATACAGATAGTGATACTTTCTCCCAGTCTGTGATTGGCTTTTTAATATTCTTTACAGTGTCTTTCAAAGAGCAGAAGTTTTCAACTTTGGTGAAGTCCAGTTCATCATTTTTTTCTTTTATTGGCTTATTCATTTTATGTCCTAAGAAAGCTTTGCAAACTCCAACATAGCAAACATTTTTTCCTAGGTTTTCTTGAGAAGTTTTATAGTTTTAGCTTTTATATTTTGAGTTAATTTTTGTATATAATGTGAGGTGAGGGTTGAGGTTCATTTTTTCCCATACCAATATGCAGTTTTCCTAGCATAAGTTTTTTTTTTTTTTTTTCCTGAGACAGGGTTCTGTCACCCAGGCTGGAGTGCAGTGATGCAATCACAGCTCACTGCAGCCTTAAGCCATCATCACACCTTGGCCTCCTGAGTAGCTAGAACTACAGGCATATGCCACCATACTTTTTTTTTTTTTTTTTTTTTTTTTTTTTTTTTTTTTTTTGGTCTGAGACAGAGTCTCACTCTGCTGCCCTGGCTGGGCCCAAGTGGTCCTTTCATCTTAGCCTCCTAAAGTGCTGAGATTACAGGCACAAGCCCCTAGAACCATTTATCAAAAGCATTATCCTTTGCCCCACTGAATTTCATTGACAACCTTGTTGAAACTCAGTTGATGGTAGGCATGAATCTTTTTGCACTACCCAAGGACACACTATGACATACTATGGCAACCTGATTTGTAAATATTTATGAAAAAGCAAAGGACAAAGAGAGTTTAACACTATAGTAATTAAAGCAGTGTAGAATGGGCACAAAAATGGACAAATCAAACAAGAGAGCATAACAGTTAGAAAAAACTAATCCATATACTGTCACTTGATTTACAATAAGCCTCCTACTGCAATTCACTGGGCAAAGGATGGTCATTTCAATGGGGAAGTAGATGAAAGTTTACCCCTACCTCACTCCATACACAGATTGAATTCCAATAGATCATAGAGCTAAATACAAATGGCAAAAGTAGCACAACTTCTATAACAAAGCATAGATTATCTTCATCAATGTTGGATTAACAACAATCTCTTGAACAGGATGTAGAAAACTCTAACCAGAGTTCCTACAAATTGATAAGAAAAAGCAAACAACCTAGCGGAAAAAAAAAAAAAAAGAGAGAGCAGAAAATCTGAACAGGAACTTCCCCAGAGAGGATATTCAAAAGGACAATAAGCCTGTGAAATGGTGCTCAATATCATTATTCCTCAGGGAAATGCAAATGGGAACCACAGGTAAGTACCACTACACACCACCACCCCCTAGAGGGGCTAAAATTAGGGACTGATAATATTAAGTGTGAATGAGAATATAGAAATGTTTACAACTGCTTGGCAGTTTCTAATGGAGTTTCACATGCTCTGTGATCCAGCAAACCCATTTCTAGATGCACAGATGCACACCTAACAGAAATACACGTGCAGTACACTCAAAGACACATACAAGAACATCCTCAGCAGCATTAGTTACAATAGCAAAACAAATGAAAACCTCCCAAATGCACATCAACAGAAATATGTATGAATTAATTATGGTATTTTTATTTTATTTTGTTTTATTTATTATTTATTTATTTATTTTTGAGCTGGAGTCCTGCTGTGTCCCAGGTTGGAATGCAGTGGTGCAATCTCCACTCACTGCAACCTCCACCTCCCAGGTTCAAGTGATTCTCCTACCTCAGCCTCTCGAGTAGCTGGGATTATAGGTGCCCACCAGCATGCCCGGCTAACTTTTGTATTTTTTAGTAGAGATGGGTTTCACCATGTTGGCCAGACTGGTCTCGAACTCCTGACCTCAGGTGATCCACCCACCTTGGCGTTTAAAAATGCTGGGATTTCAGGCATGAGCCACTGCACCTCGCCAGTATATTTATTAATCAAATACTACACAGCAATAACAGTGAACTAACTGTGGCTACAAGCAATAATGTAGATAAATTTTACAGACATAATTTGAGGCAAAAGAAACCAGAAGTGATACAGAATATGCTATATGGTTCTATTTATGAGGCTCAACAGCAGGCACAATTCATATAAAAGCAATATAGCAGTTTCCTTCATGGGGGAGGGAGGAGCTGACTGGAGGAGGCTGGGCAGGAGGCAGGGGTGCGTCTGAGATTCTGAGAATGTTCCAGAGCACACTTTCTCCACCTTGGCACTACTGACATTTTGTTGGGGAGGCCCTCCTGGCACTGAGAGATTCCCAGCTTCTACCCACTAGTGCCAGTACCACAATGTCTACCCACTACCACCGCCGCCCCCACCCACAGTAAGACAAACAAAAATGTTTCCAGATATTGCCAAATGTCCTCTGGGTTGGAGGATGCACAAAATTCCCCTGGCTGCACTGTTTTATTTTGGGTCCTGGGGAAAATACGGGTGTGGGCTCCTTTATGGAAATTCCTTGATCTGTATGATTCATCAGCTTTTCTGTACACATATTAAGCTTTCAAAGTTTTTAAAATAAGAAAACAAGTCAACGAATGACTGAAAGAACCAGCAAGTTTTCCAGCAATCCCAGAGAGAGTAGATCGAGTGGGGTTTAATGTCTTGTTCACAGACGAGGAGACTGGGATCCAGGGTTGTTCAGGGCAGGTGGCTGGCAGGGTCCAGGAGAGAGCTCACTACCTGACCCCTACTCCCACTGCCTTCCCCCTGCTCTCATGCATTCTTGCTCCCAAACACTGACCAAGTCCTTATTGAGGTTGGTCCCATGCAGGGGCTCGACTGGACCTTTAGACTCATGGTGGAAACAGTTCGTGTTGGTGGACACTGCACCCAGCACCCTGCAAGCAGAATTCTGAAAACCAGTATCTCATGCAAACAGGATATCAGCTTTTGTGAGAAAGATCAAAAAGGGCTTGAGGTTTTTCTTCGCAGCCTCCCCTTGCCTCTCCCCCTCTCGCTTTATCTCCTCGTTTGTGTGTGCAGGCGAGCTTCTTGGCCTGCGGGCAGGAAGAGATGGCAGCGGGAGAGACGCAGCTCTACGCCAAGGTCTCCAACAAGCTCAAGGGCCGCAGCACCCCCTTGCTCCTGGAGCCCCTCCTGGCCATGGGCTTCCCGGTGCATACCTCGTGAGTACTGCCCAGAGACCCTGGGGCCCAGCCAATGGGGCTGGAGCCAGACCCTGCCATGGAGCTGCAGGGGCGCAGGGCACGGCCTCCTGTCAAAGCCGTGCACCTTGTGGGGTGACACACTGGCTCTTCAGAAGCCTCTCTTCTGCTTTGCGTAAAGGACATGATCTTGACCAAGCTTGTCCAACCCACGTGTGGCCCAGGACAGCTTTGAATGCTGTCCAACACAAATTGGTAAACTTTCTTAAAACATTATGAGATTCATGTTTGTTTGGTTTTTATTAGCTCGTTAGTGTCAGTGTGTTTTATGTCTGGCCCAAGACAATTCTTCTTCCAGTTGGGGCCAGGGAGGCAAAGATTGGAAACCCCTGATATTCTTGACCTTTGAATCACTAGCTCTGCTGGCTGATGCCAGGGGGATCCTGAAATTGTGGAAATCAGAAGCCATGTATTACTCCAGGCGCCTCATTGTGGGGGCTTGGGGGAAGTCGGGGTCTGGTTGCAGTCTCTGTGTGCAGCTCAGCGACTCTGAAGGTGGCATTTCAAGGTGTTCAAACTCTAGCATGAAAGACCCCAAAACCCTCTGAGTCTCTAACACTGGGACCAACTGTCAGCAGGACTGGGCTGCCACACTGCCCAGGGAGAGCCGCTTGTCCTCAGGGAGAATCCCTTGAGTGTCCGGTAATGAAACCAATGGGTCGGAAACGTCAGCCACAGTGCGAGCGCACCCCTGTGGGAAGGGTCAGTGTGTGGGAGGGTTTAGCCTCTGGAGTCGCCGCTCTCGGAGAGGGAGGAGATGTGACCCACGCTGGGGTTTTGCAGCTTTTGCGACAAACCAGAGCCTTGGATCGGGCCCGTTCATTTCTCACGTGGAAAAATAATCCGAAACACACTTGAGGTGACTTCGGGTTGGAGAAGGAGCTAAACTTGCCTTCCACACTGTCACAAAAGCTTGGCCAAATTGGGTAAAGCAACTCTGAAGCTAGAGAAAGCCCTTTCTTCTCCCCAAATCAGGGCTTGGTTGTCACTGTTATGTTCAAGCTAATCCAGGGCCTCTGAATGGGGAATGCGTTCGGGCGTGGGGAGCGCAGGTACAAGGCAGGCTTCATCCTCTGCTTGCCACCCAGTGCAGGCAGGACCCTGGGCCCAGAGAGTGCGTTGGGGGTGGGGGTGGGGCTTGAACCAGCCCTCTATGCCTTTGAAGGCGTCCACGTTGTATTTTGCTGTTGAACCTGTAGCATGGACTCCTACTCAAAATTCCTTCTGGTTTAAACATTAAACACATGTTGGGGGAAGAGAAGTGTGTGAATTTCCTCACACCAGAGCACCTCCGAGGAAGGTCCTGCCCCGAGGCCACCCTGTTCAAACCTCTCCAGGTGGCCACAGCCCCGTCAGCACCCACCCAAACAGCAGCATCCGGTAGCACGTGGTGGGTGCCTCATGGACACCCGCTGTTTCCTATCGGCAGTCCTGATAAATTGCCTTAGCTACATTCCACTGTTTAATTTGGTCCAGGTCTAGCAGGGGAGAGCCGTGGGAGCGAGGGACTGTGAGAGCCCTGGCGAGTGCCTGCCGGTGCTTTGGGAAGGGCTGTTCCCCTGCGTGGGAGACACGTGGGAGCTGAGCCTGAGGATCAGGCCATTTCGCGAAGGGATGTTGGGGTGAAGGAAGCATTTGTCGGGGAAGCGTGTGTCCGAGCAGGGACACACTCCACAGCAGCTGCCCCAGTATCCACAAGGTGGGTCCATGTGCTCTAGGTAGAGGGGAGGGGCAGGCCAGGGAGAGGGATTGCAGGAGCCGGCAGAGGTCAGGTCCTCAGCACCAAGACCCCGCGCCAAGGGCCAGAGCGGGTAGCCAGGGAAGGAAAGTGAGGGGGGATGTGAGCTGGTCAGCACTGTCCAAAGTCATCACGGTGGCACTCAGGGGACAGGGACCTCTGGGCACATGCCCGCTGGAAGTTCAGCGTCAGGCCCTCTTCAGAGCACACCCCGAAGATCCGGGAGTGCAAGGCTACCCTGCCTCTCTGACCCCTTTCCCGAGGATGGGCGATGTGACCCTGTGCCCGTGTCTGCTCCTCTGCAGGCTGAAAGCGCTGGCAGCCACGGGCAGGAAGACAGCGGAAGAGGCCTTGGCCTGGTGAGTGCGGCTGCTCCTGGAGACCCGGGGGCATCTGGGCTGAACACCCTGTGCTCCAGGGCCCCCTCCCGCCAGGGCAGACCCCAGGAAAAGCCCGGTGCCTCTGGGTGGGATGGGGCCACTGCGGAAGTGAACCAAAGTAACCTCCCTGCCAGTCACAGGGCACCAGGAGGGGGCGAGCCTCCATTTTAAAATCACTAACTGAATCCAAAGAAACCTAGTAGCTATCTAAATTTTGTCTAGTTTTTGGTTTGGGTTTTTACGTGTAATTTGAAGCTTGAGGTAAAACACAAATGTGAGTTTCTTCCACATGGTGAGTTTGAATGGTGAGTTTCCACACCATCCAAGAGACGCTGGGGCCACAGACAATCTGAAGACCAGGTACTGGGTCTTGCCATCAGCTTTCTTTCCTCTTTTCCACCTGTGAGTTTGGAATGAGACTCAGGTGGTTCTGAGGGCAGGATGGACACTGGCCAGGTCTGTCCCACACGCGGCTCCACTGCAGGTGCCTCCGCTGATAGGATGGCACTGGGATGAGTCTAAGTCATGAGCATATATTGTGTGTTCAGTGAGCCCTATAATTCTGCATTGCTGTCACTGCTGTTGTGTGTCCTCGAGGGGGAGAAACCTTCTCGTTGTGGCAGTGGGTGAAGCCGGCTTGCTCTCTGTTGCAGGCTGCATGGTCATTGCAATGACCCTTCCCTAGACGACCCCATCCCCCAGGAGTATGCCCTTTTCCTCTGTCCAACGGGGCCCCTGCTGGAAAAACTTCAAGAGTTCTGGAGAGAGAGCAGGCGCCAGTGTGCAAAGAACAGAGCTCATGAGGTCTTCCCACACGTGACACTCTGTGACTTCTTCACGGTGAGTCAGCCCAGTGTGCCTTCAATGCTCTTCATCACTGCAGCTGGAGGCATTTTTTCTGTGATAACTAGGCCATGACAGGACAAAGGTGACTCATTTAAGTGGATTGTCCAGAATTGCATCATTACCTGACATCTTCATGTGAGCTGTGCTTTATTTTCCTCTTTGCTTTCATCTGGCCAACTCCTATTCATCCCTCAGAACCCAGCTCATTTATCGCCTTCCTTTTTTGAGTCTTCTCCAGCTCCCCAGGCAAAAGGAGTTGCTGCCCATTTCTTGTTCACGTGTCTAGTGGCACCGGCGTATTATATGGGCCATGTGTCTGGTCCAACACTGCATCTCTCACAAGACTGGCTCCCTCAAGGGAGGGCAGATGCTTCACTCATCTTTGCACCCCAGAAACTAGCACAGTCCCTAACACAGAGTTGGTGATTCCAAAATGCGTGATAAGTCAACTCGAGAACAGGTGATGGTAGGCTACTCCCAGATGCAGAACTTTTCCTGTCTCAGGGACCAGCCCTCCAATTCAGAAAAAAAAATGGCCCAGTGGCTAGCTCCACAGGGCACTGGGAAGGCAAGAAGGATGCAGGGGCTGCTCAAGAGAAAAGAAGGAGAAGGTGGGGACAGACAGCCACGGCCTCTTCGGCTCCACCAGAGGGCCCCGGGAAGGGCACCCCTACTTCCGCTACCCTGGCCTGACCCCAACTCTGTTGTTGGCAAACTGATTGGTTCCACCCATTTCAAGGGATTCCGTCAGGGCCCAAGGAAGCCTCCACTCTGACACCAGTCTCCTCCATGCTGGGTGGAAAGGGGGAAGGCAAATCTCTTCAGGGAAAGATTTCTGGAAGATGTCCCAGGAGAAGGAGCACCCTCCGAAGCCTCCAACTGACACCCTGGATTGCCTGAGACTCTCAGGGATTCCCAGAACACAGGACTAGGCCTGGGAAAGCCCCAGGCAAACCAAGAGACTTTTCACCCTGCATAGACATCGATGGCATCTGTGACAAGTAGACTTCCTTCTGGGTCACCCTCTGGAGCAAACGGGAAAAGGCAAGTCAGTCCATGCCATGTGACACAGCTCAGAAATCAGAGTAGGCCTTGGCCCGCGGCTCCTTCCCCAACCCACTGAGGCACAAGCACACACGCGCACACACACACAGAGACAGAGACACACACATAGCTCACACACAGACACACGCACACACAGATACATGCACACAGACATATATAGATACAGACACACAGACACACACAGATAGACATAGAGGCATATACATGGCACACACAGATATAACACATACATGCATACAGACACACGCACACAGACACACACATAGCTCACACACATAGACACACAGACACATACATACATGCACACAGACATACATAGATACAGACACACACAGACACAGAGGCATATACAGGGAACACACAGACATATAACACATACATGCATACAGACACATACACATGGACACACAAACATACAGATAAAAATGCATACATGCATGCAGATATACACACAGATATACACACACAGGAATACACAAATACATGCACATAGACACACACAGACGCATACAGACACAGATACACACACACAGAGACACACCTAGATACACACACATGCACAAACGCAGACACATCCATGCACAAACATAGACATATGCACACACACAGACACATACATAAGTACCACATGCACATGTATGCACACAGATAAACATGCATACACACAGACACATAGACATACACAGACAGACATACACATAGACATACACAGACACATATAGACACACACAGACACACATATAGACGTGCAGACACACACACACACACACACACACACCTCCCTCTGTTGTTAGCTCCTCCCAGTCCCCTACCCCAGATCTGGCCTGGCCATGGTTACTGCAACTCACCTCGCAGGCAGAAGAGTGTAGCGGAGACTCGCTGTGTACCTTTCATGCTGTAAAATGAAAACACCAATCTTCTGAAGTGTGATACTGATCACAGCTACGTTTATAACATGACCATTCTTGAAAATTATGTATCTGAGGCCAAGAAACGCAATGCGAGACGGACTCCAGAATGGACATGCATTCACTATGTGGTTTTGTGCTGTGTGCCATTGAGGGCTGCAGAGAAAACAGACAGGAGGAATGTCAGGCAGGCATGTCCACGGGGCACTGGGATACCACCACATTCAGCAATAGGATCTGGCCTCATACTTGGGCATGTCAAAAGCACTATGGGAAATTCCGAGGTGAGCCCGGTGCTGGGAAGAGAAGGGATCAGACCATCTCCCGCCAGGAGGTGGTGGTGTCTGGGTTTCCCCTGTGGTCCCACATGGCCAATGGCACTGGAAAGGTCTTCAAGCCCAGGAAGTGGCCTGGCCAGGGCAGCGGGCAACACCAGGCCCAGATGCCGAGAAACACTGCGTCTGGCTGGAGGCGAGGGTGGGAGCCCCATGGGCAAAGCTGTCAGGCCAGTACCTGTCGGGCTCGATGGGCAGGCTGAGCCCTGGCGAGAAATTCTCCAGGTGACAGAGAACCTGCAGCTTCAGGAGCGGGAACTGCATCAAAAAGAGGGTCCCACAGCCACACAGGGGGCATCAGGGAGGCCTGGCCAGGGGCTGTGCAGGCTCAGGTCCCCCAGGGAGCAGACCCCAAGGCAGCATTCCAAGTGCAGGAAACACACAGTGGAGAGACTGCTGGTGAAGGCAAAGGAGGAGAAGAGGGTTGGAGGTGGGGCGGAGCCTTGGAGCCTTGGAGGAGTCCCCTGTGGAACCCGGCTCCGCGCTCAGCCGTGGATTCGAGGGCGGCCCTACAGCTCTCCGCAAGAGTCCAAGGCTGCCCAGGCACTGCTCAGAACCTGCTGAGTCCCTGTCCACTGCTCAGTCCCCCTCCACTGCTCAGTCCCCCTCCACTGCTCAGTCCCCCTCCACTGCTCAGTCCCCCTCCACTGCTCAGTCCCCCTTCACTGCTCAGTCCCCCTCCACTGCTCAGTCCCCCTCCACTGCTCAGTCCTCCTCCACTGCTCAGTCCCCCCTCCACTGCTCAGTCCCCCTCCACTGCTCAGTCCTCCTCCACTGCTCAGTCCCCCTCCACTGCTCAGTCCCCCTTCACTGCTCAGTCCCCCTCCACTGCTCAGTCCTCCTCCACTGCTCAGTCCCCCCTCCACTGCTCAGTCCCCCTCCACTGCTCAGTCCCCCTCCACTGCTCAGTCCCCCTCCACTGCTCAGTCCCCCCTCCACTGCTCAGTCCCCCTCCACTGCTCAGTCCCCCTCCACTGCTCAGTCCCCCTCCACTGCCCAGTCCCCCTCCACTGCTCAGTCCTCCTCCACTGCTCAGTCCCCCTCCACTGCTCAGTCCCCCTCCACTGCTCAGTCCTCCTCCACTGCTCAGTCCTCCTCCACTGCTCAGTCCCCCTCCACTGCTCAGTCCCCCTTCACTGCTCAGTCCCCCTCCACTGCTCAGTCCCCCTCCACTGCTCAGTCCCCCTCCACTGCTCAGTCCCCCTTCACTGCTCAGTCCCCCTCCACTGCTCAGTCCCCCTTCACTGCTCAGTCCCCCTCCACTGCTCAGTCCCCCTCCACTGCTCAGTCCCCCTCCACTGCTCAGTCCTCCTCCACTGCTCAGTCCCCCCTCCACTGCTCAGTCCTCCTCCACTGCTCAGTCCCCCCTCCACTGCTCAGTCCCCCTTCACTGCTCAGTCCCCCTCCACTGCTCAGTCCTCCTCCACTGCTCAGTCCCCCCTCCACTGCTCAGTCCCCCTTCACTGCTCAGTCCCCCTTCACTGCTCAGTCCCCCGCCACTGCTCAGTCCTCCTCCACTGCTCAGTCCTCCTCCACTGCTGAGTCCCCCTTCACTGCTCAGTCCCCCTCTGCTGCTCAGTCCCCCTTCACTGCTCAGTCCCCCTCCACTTCTCAGTCCCCCCTTCACTGCTGAGTCCCCCCTCCACTGCTGAGTCCCCCTTCACTGCTCAGTCCCCCTCCACTGCTCAGTCCTCCTTCACTGCTCAGTCCCCCTCCACTTCTCAGTCCCCCCTTCACTGCTCAGTACCCGCTCCACTGCAGGTTCTGAGCAGTGCCTGGGCAGCCTTGGAGTCTGCTGGAAACCTCCAGAAGCCAAATCGTGCAAACCTGAGCGATGACATGGGACTGAGGAAAGGGCTCAGCAAGTGATGAACACACACCATGGAGGGAGGGGATGCAGCTCAAGGACCAGGGGATTTCCAACCTGGGCACCTATAGGAGACACCATCCCGCAAAGAAATTGACCTGAAATATTTGAAAAACTGAGGTCCAATTATAGAACAAATCCATAACCCCAGACACACAGGGACGAGATAAACTGTTACAGCATTTTGAACAGAAAAGGGTCTCACTTTAATTGCTGCCGGTTGCTATTAAATTAATAGATGACTTCTGATGAGATGTGAGGAAACGCGGGCTCTGTCTCTCTCCCCTTAGTGTGAAGACCAGAAGGTGGAGTGTCTGTACGAGGCACTGAAGAGAGCTGGAGACAGGCTCCTGGGCTCCTTCCCCACGGCTGTGCCCCTGGCTCTCCACTCCTCCATCAGCTACCTCGGCTTCTTCGTCAACGGCAGCCCCGCAGACGTCATCCGGGAATTCGCCATGACCTTTGCCACAGAAGCATCTCTCTTAGCAGGTGGGCAGCCCTGGCCAGTTACAAACACAGGGCGGGGTTCGCAGTGAGTGAGCCCTTCGTGGCAGGGACCAGCTCACGCACACAGATGCAGTGGGTTGCTTCCAGGGGAGCAGTGCCCACAGCAATGGTGGGATGGCTGGGTGGGCTTTCTCCCGAGCAAAGTGGATGCACCCATCCTCACCAAGGCACTTCCGTGTCCACTTCTGGATTGTCAGCCAGGTGCCTGGACATGATCTAAACCTGAGGCTGAAGAATTTAACTAGAGCCTCCTTCGTGAGCCACCGCAGCCTTCAAAAACGCAGGCCGATAGGAAGCTCCATATAAAAACGCAGGCCGATAGGAAGCTCCATATAAAAATGTAGGCTGAGAGGAAGCTTCTGGACCCACAGTGGTCTTCTCCTTAAGTGGAAATAGCCTTGTTCGCATTAAATGGTTTTTCAAACTCTTAGCTATATGCCAACAGCCTGGGAAACTGCCCCAGAGAGGTGTGCCAAGCATCAAGCCTGACTGGGTGACCGTGACAGGGTTGGAGGCCAGTGCACATGGAGAGTCAGGGCCTCCCGCCCTCGGCCTCGAGTGGGAGACACACAAGTTCTGTGTGACCTATTTCTGTATTTTCAGAATGAGCTTAGTGCTCTCTCCTTGGCCTCTCCGGGGAAAGATTATTTAGACTTATGTTGAGAATCATCAAAATCATCAGAGCCCTGCTCTGGAGCCCGAGGCTGGGGTTCGGTAGAAAGGATTCTGGACTTCGCATCAGAAGATGTGGACTTTTTCTGTGTCCCTGATGAGTGGCGTGCCCTGAATCAGGTCAGGTCCACTTGCTCTGTCTCTTTTCTTTCTCTGCAAAACAATGAGGGCTCTCACTCTTCAAGAACAACGTTGCCTGAGTCTGCGGCGCCCCTGCCCCAGTTCCCGGGACACAGAAGGCGCTCAGCGCTGTCGTGATTTGCCAGCTCCAAAATCTGACAAGGCCGCAGGGCCTTGGTGGGAGGGGTCCCTCCTTTCTCTCCGAAGGAACATGTCTGTCTCTGTCCTCAGACACGTGCGAAACACAGATCTTGGCCCATAAATCCAACCATGAATCCCGGGCTTCCATTTGGATGCCAGCTTGTGAGTCTGGAAACCAAATCTGCTGGATAATTAGAAAGTAACCCCCGGTCCTTGTGGAACGAGTCTCCTTTGTCAAATGATGGCTCTTTCATACCCCAGGCTTCCCTAGTGAACCTCAATGGCAACATCTCAAAAACAGGAAGACTGAGGCTGTGAAGGGTAAAGTGCCTGCCCAAAGTCACTGTGGTGTGTGGAGTCGTGTCCCCTAAAAATGTATGTCCACCAGGAACCTCAGACCTCACTTGGAAACAGGACCTTTGCAGATGCGATTGGTTAGGAGGAGGTCACAGTGGATTAGGGTGGGTCCTCGTACATGGAGAGGCCACACAGAGACACAGAGAAGCCATATGCCAACTGAGGCAGAGACAGGAGTGATGTGGCTACGAGCCAAGGGATATGTGAGGCCACGAGAAACCGGAAGACTCAAGGAAGGACCCTTCCCGGGAGTTTTCAGGTAGAGTGCAGCTCTGCCAACACCTCGATTTTGAACCTCTGCTCTCCAGAAACGGGAGAGAACAAATGTCTGTTGTTGGAAACCGATCCAGTGCCCTAACCAGTCTGGTGGAGCCGGGACCTGAACCCAGCTCTGTCCTGCTCCACACCAGCTAGGTTCATGCTGAGAGGCCTCACTTCCTGCAGGAGCCAGCACTGACCTCACACCCACACCCTGACCCGGAGCAGGCTCTGGCCTGCCCTTCTCTGGCCCATGCCCTCTGCCTGACGCCGAGCGGGCAGAGGGGCCTCTCCCAGTGACAAGTGACCAGTCACTGCTCTGAAGTGGCCAAGCTCTAGGGCAAGTATACGAGGCACCCTGCCCGCACCGGCCTCCCCAGTGAAACATCCCCAGAGGCACAGGTCTTCAGCGAGAAGGAGACACATGGGCCCATTCACAAGTCGGTGTGACTCACTCTGACGTCAGCCACCAGCAGTGGGTCTTTCCCAGGCCACACGCACTCACATGGCAAGGCCGTCCTCCCCGACTGCTAAAAAATAGTCAGAAAAGGAATTTCCCCACCACCTACACACTCCCGCCGCTCTGGGCTGCACAGCTCAGCACCTGGGCCCGCCAGAGATCGTGGGAGTTTCCCGTTTGCCTCTAAAGGCTCACCTCTCACATGGGAGACAGCAGTGGGCTCCAACTTCGGGGGTCCGAGGAAAGGCTTGCATTACCCTCGACGTTTTTTAGGGGGTGAGCAGATCCTGTTTGTAAGTGCCTTGCCGTGGAGAGGGGGCAGGTGACCTCTGCACTGACAGCGTCTCTAGCAGGAAATTTTAAGAGGCCAATTTCCCACGGTAGCCCTGGCAAGCAGCCACTGCCATCCGCCAGCAAATGCTGCTGAAACAGAAATTGGGCCAGTCCCAGAGCTCAGTCAAGGTCACCTTGCAAAAGGGGGACACAGTGTGCCCTGAAACTAGGTCTGTCCACCCCAAAGTCTGTGCTGTCCCCATCAAGACACTGACTGCCTCCCTAGGACATAAAATATTTTCTGGCCCAACTGAAATCAGATCCCGGCTGCTTCAGTGACGCCAGCTGCTCTGCTGACTGGCCTGAGAGCCCCCTTGCAAGACCAGGGAGGGCCAGGGTCACCGGGGCAGAGGATGCCCAAAACGACTGGAGATTCAGCCATTCCCAGGACCTCCTGCTTCACCAAAACAAGGTGGACCCTAAGACATTGTGTGTTTTATAGTTGTGTTGCCTAAAGAGTTTTCTTGAAACTCTACAATTAAACAAGCCAGTGAACTGAGCTCGGGCCTGCAAGTCCAGGCCGCTGGGTAATGTGCACACCCCGGGGAACGCAGCAGCTGTTCACTCTGTGCATCTGAATCGTGCATTTGCGCAGCTGGCCTGCAAACCGATAGGCCCCAAGACCCTGAGCCCACATCTCCATGCCCTCCTCTTCCCTGCTTCCTGGAAAAATCTGCAGGTATCCAGCCATCTCCTTTACGGTGTGAGTTCTGAGCGGGCCAAGTCCTTGCCTTGTTGAGGGAGCAGGAGGTGGAGGGAAGGAGGCCTTTAGGTAACGGTGCCCTGGCACCCTCTGCGTTTTCCTGATTTCACAGACTGTACCGTGAAGCCGTGCACCAAGCAGCTGCATCTGACCTTGGCCCACAAGTTCTACCCCCACCATCAGAGGACGCTGGAGCAGCTGGCCAGAGCCATCCCCCTGGGCCACAGCTGCCAGTGGACGGCAGCCCTCTACTCCCGAGACATGCGCTTCGTGCACTACCAGGTGAGAGAGCCGGGCGGGGGCTCCTAAGAAGCAGATGAATGCACGACCACCCACCTGACAGCACGTACCCATGGAGCCCTCCAAGGGGGATATTTTAGGAGCAAGGGAAATTTCTATTGCTTCTCTAAAACCATTCTCTCTCTTGTGCAATTTGCAACTAGCATTCTTTCATATGTGAGTCAGAGAAGCACAGAAATTTTAACACAAAATAGAAGTATTTCCAGTATTAGAAAAGGAGGCCAGGCATGGTGGCTCACGCCTGTAATCCCAGCACTTCGGGAGGCCAAGGCAGGTGGATCACTTGAGGTCAGGTGTTCAATATCAGCCTGGGCAACATGGTGAAACCCCGTCTCTACTGAAAATACAAAAAATTAGCCAAGCATGGTGTTACGCAGCTGCAATTCCAGCTACTCAGGAGGCTGAAGCAGGAGAATCACCTGAACCTGGGAGGTGGAGGTTGCAGTGAACCAAGATGGCACCACTGCACTCCAGCCTGGGCAACAGGGAGACTGGCAAGAAAAGAAGGAAAGAAGGTAGGAAGGAAGGCAGGCAGGCAGGGAGGGAAAGAGGGAAGGAAGGAAGGAGAGAAACAGAAGGAAAGAGAGGGGAAGGGAAAGGAAGAAAGAAACAGAAACAGACTGTTGTAAATACATGTTTTGCTTATTCTTATTTTTTTTTAATTTAGGGGTTATGCTAATCTCTGTATCGTTCTAATTTTAGTTATATGTGCTGCCAAAGTGAGCACAATTCACTTTAAATAATGATTTGAATGAAACCTCATTCTGAGACTTCCTCCTCATGAAAGGAAGTGTGTGGTGCTTCCGTCAGATCCAGAGAAGGTGTCAATAACCTCACACCGATGAAGGCGGATGTGAAGGTCAGCTTGGCCTTCAGATCTTTTGTAGATGAAAAAGTACCTGGGTGGATGGATGATGAATAGATCCCAAAATGCTTGCCTTTTTTTTTTTTTTTTTTTTTTTTGAGACAGTCTGGGTCTGTTCCCAGGCTGGAGTGCAGTGGTACAATCTCAACTCACTACAACATCCGCCTTGTGGGTTCAAGTGATACTTCTGCCTCAGCTTCCCAAGTAGCTGAGACTACAGGCGTGCACCACCACACCCAGCTAAAGTTTGTATTTTTAGTAGAGAAAGGGTTTCACTATGTTGGCCAGGCTGGTCTTGAACTGACCTTTTGATCCGCCTTGCCTCAGCCTCCCAAAGTGTTGGGATTACAGGCGTGAGCCACCACACCTGGTCCCAGAATGTATTTCTAAATCTATCCAAAGAATTCGATGCTGCATTTCGTTATATTCTATGCTGTGTGTTGCTGGACAAAGCTTTGGACAGTGTCTTGGAGACATGGCACACTTTGGAGGAGGCAGAGAGCAGGAGGTAGCAGGTCACAGGCCTCCCACTGCCGCCATTTTCCAACGTAAATCTTTGCTTGAGACATGAAACCCTTGTCTCTTTTCTAGACCCTGAGAGCCCTCTTCCAGTACCAACCCCAGAATGCGGACGAGCTGACACTAAGTCCTGGCGACTACATCTTTGTGGACCCCACACAGCAGGACGAAGCCAGCGAGGGCTGGGTGATTGGGATCTCACAGCGGACGGGCTGCCGGGGCTTCCTGCCGGAAAACTACACAGACCGAGCCAGCGAGTCTGACACCTGGGTTAAGCACAGGTGAGTGCTGCCTCCAGCTGCAGGCCCATCATCTCTCTGTTACTGCGTGAGAGTGCCCACCTGCAAACACTGTGCTTCTAAACCATTCCATCGTTAGTAAAATACATTCTCTATGCTGGCAAAATTATTCCTGCAGGTATATAGTAAACATCTTGGTTCGTGTGTGGTTTTCTGACGATAACATTCAAAAAAGAATGAATTACTCTGCCTTAGAGTAATTTGAGATTGTAATCCCAAAATTATTGCAAAATAGTATTTCCTTATCACAAACATAATAAATTACACACAGAGGTCCTGAGCTTGGGTTTATTTATTCTTCTGTCCCGTACATAAACTGTGAAGTCCTAGGGTATATTGTTAGTTTCCTATGGCTGTATAATGAATTACCACAAAATTAACGGCTAAAACAACGTGCACTTATTATCTTATTGTATTCATGGGTTGAGAGAGTCAGCTTAACTGGCTCCTCAGCTTGGGGTCTCAAGGCTGTAATCAAGGTGCCTACCAGGGCTGGGATCCCGGCTGAGGCTTCTTGCCCTCGCCTGAGCATACGCACTTGGTGGAAGTGATTTCCGTGAATCTGTAGGACTCCTGGTGACTCACTTCTTCATCAGCTGGAGAATCCCTTAATTTTAGCGTCATCTGGTGAGGCTAAGGATTTTCAGAATCATCAGGCGCTGGTTCTTTCTGTTTAATGTTCTTCCCTCAGTTTATCTCTTTCCTCTCCTGCTGTGCTATAAGCAACATGAAGAAACCAGGTGATAATACCAAACACTTTGTTTGGAAATATCCTTAGCTATGTAACCAGCATTATCGCTTACAAGTCCTGCTCTCCATGGACAATTTCATTAAATTCTCTGGCACACATGGGAAGGATCCTCCTTGCTCCGATTTCCTGGAACACGTTTTGCATCCCTTTCTGAGTCCTCTCTGAAGGATTCACCTCCAGCATCCACATTTCCACCGGCAGTCTGTTTGTGGTGATTTGGGCTTTCTCTACCACGTTCTCAAAAGTCTCTCAGCCTCTACTCAACTTTGCCAAGTCCCAGAGTTGTTTTCACATGTTAAGTTCAGAAGGTTTCCAACTTACGGTTCGACTTAGGATTTCATAGTGGTACGAAAGCGATATGCGTTGGGTAGAAACCGTGCTTCACTTTCAGTACAATATTTTACGAGTTATATGAGATACTCGACACTTTATTACAAAATAGGCTTTGTGTTAGGTGATTTTGCCCTACCATAGGCTGCTGTAAGTGTCTGAGCCTGTTTAGGGTAAGCGAGGCTAAGCTACGACATTCAGTAGGTCAGGTGCATTAAATGCATCGTCAAGGTATAATGGGTTTGTTGGAACGTAACCCCATCTGCAGGTGAAAAGCACCCATGTTTGTTACAATAGCTCCCCATTCCTGATACCAAATTTAGTAAAAATGTAACCAGAGAAGCAGAACCGATCACTTGCATACAATATATAATACATATGAATATTCGTGCAGATGTCCCTTGCTATCTGCACAGCACTGGTTCCAGGACACCCACAGATACCCAGATCCTCAGGTGCTCAAGTCACCGATATAAAATGCTGTAGTGTTTACATGCAATGTCTGTACATCAACCTGTATCTTTTAAATCATCTCTAGATTACTTATGATATGTAATATAATGTTAATGCTATACAAATAGTTGTTCTACAGTATTGTTTTTTATTTGTATTTTTAAAATTGTTGTATTGCTTTTTTTTTTTTTGAGAATGGAGTTTTGCTCTTTTGCCCAGGCTGGAATGCAATGGCAAGATCTTGGCTCACTGCAGCCTCTGCCTCCAGGTTCAAGCGATTCTCCTGCCTCAGCCTCCCGAGTAGCTAAGTTTACAGGCATGCACCACCGCACTCAGCTAATTTTGTATTTTTAGTCGAGACAAAATTCCTCCATGTTGATCAGGCTGGTCTCGAACTCCCAACTTCAGGTGGTCCGCCGGCCTCGACCTCTGAAAGTTCTGGCATTAGAGGTATGAGCCACCTCGCCTCACCGCTATTTTTTATCAATTAATTTTTTAAAAAATATTTTTGGCCTGCAGTTGGTCAACTCCACATAATACTTTATATTGTATACACGTGTATCACATACGCACATACATATATAGAAAGGTATATATGTATATACACATCTATATGGATTTGGTACAACAAATTGCCTTATGGGATGACTGGGGCTAGCTAAGCAAGGGCAGGCAGGCAGGAAGGGAGGATCCTACTCAGGCGGAAGCCCATGGGCAAGCGGAAGCTTGTTGTCCACATGTGGGCAGGTGGAAGGACCACGCAGTGGATGGGAGAGCAATCGCAGACACAGCTGCTACGAGTCTCTGAGCTTCGGGAAAGCCTAAGCTTTTTAAAAAATGCCTTCCCACTGCGTAAGTCAGGCCTGCTCAGACTACTCTGGCTTTTGATTAATTTGAATTCAACTGCTCAGGGGATCTAATCACATTTGCAAAATCTCCTCCTAGCAGCACCTAGACTAGCGTTTGGTGGGATAGCTGGGAAGGCTGTGTGTGATGCTTAGGATGACTACTGCCCACCTTCCATCCTCCGGCTGTCATGAGAATGCCTCTCGTAGCCCACCCTAGTCAGTCACGTGCTAAAAAGGAAGTCTAGGGACTGTCGTTCAGTCTAGCCAGGTTGCCACACTGTAAAGCCTTTGCATCGTGTGAAGGTAGCTCTCGTGAGCTTTTTCACTGTCTTCTCCTGGGTTCCAGTAGGAAAGTGGAGAGAGCAGGCAGAGGTCAGAATACATGTGGTGGAAAAAGAGAAAAGCTGCTCAACCTCACGGGTGTGCGTGTTGGGGTGCAGCTCTTGCAGGTGTCAAGACTGATGGTTGGAACAACTGAATGATGAGAGTAGGAGGAGCAGGGCAGAAAGGCACAGAAAACCCTACGTTGTGGTTCGGGGCTTCGGCCCCTTCAGAGCTGTGTGGCTGGGGCAGAGAGCCTGGAAAACCACCCACATGGCCATCCGTCTGTCTCCAGGCAGGAGGTCTTAAAACCCTTTTACCGTTTCACTCATTTGTTTACTTCTCTCCCAGAATTTCCCACAGCTTCTCTAGGGTTTCCCCCACCACCCTGACAAATAAATAAATTAAGTTGGACACAGATGAATCAGCATCTACTCAATCCATAGATTTTCAGATCTGTGCTGAACACTTGCTGTGGACATCTATTTCTAGCATCTATATATCCAGGGAATTCTTTCCTGTACCTTTCCTACTGAGGTTCATACACAAAGCAAAACTATGAAAATTGTGACATTTTATTTGAGTTGTCATTGGAAACTACTTAAAAATTATCAGAGACTATAAGGATAACTAATAAGACAAGCATTTTGAGTAAATTTAGAAAGAATATATTTTGAAGAGCTAAAACAAGTGATTGATTGCTTATTGGCTATTTTTATCCAAACCCCCCAAAAAGGAAAAGAAAAGATGGTTTAATAGTACCTAATAGAAGCTCTTGGTGAAATTATTAGAATTTGCAAGAAATAGTAGTAAAAATAATGGAAGTATTGTCTGAAATATTTATAAAAGGAGATTTGGTGACTATGGCTGATTTCTTTATGTATTATATTTCTTTCTGCTAATTATTCATACACTGAGATTTGTGTAACGAACCAGGGACAGCATTTATGTCCCTGAGCTTCCCCACTAAACGTAGTGGCAACTTGACACACAAGGGGAGCAGCCAAAGCCCCAAGGCTGTCCAGACGTGGCATTCTGTATCATCTCCGCTTTGTCCAGACGTGGCATTCCGTATCATCTTTACTTGAGGCCATTTAACTTCTTCCCCTAATGAATAAGAACTAAGGACCACAAAATGCAAATATGGGATGAAAAATGCAGCAGTAGTCACACGTCTTTATTTATTGATGTGTTAATTCATAATCCACTTAAATCTATTTTAAGGCAGCTTAAGAGATGCCCAATAGCTTTGCACACTAACATCACCCCCCTGCCCCATGCCTGGCTCTGTTCCATGTATGTCCCTTATTAACTGATTTAATTCTCCAGTATCCCCGGGGTAGGCACTGTTATGGCTCCACTTTACAGATGATGAAACTGATACACAAAGAGATCAGATCACTCACCTGTGTTCACACAGCAAGTGAGCAGGGGAGGCAGGATTCCAGCTTTATACCTAATCCCACACGTGGGCTTCCAACTATGACCTCAACTGCCCCTATAGAAGAGATCATTACATTTTAAAAATAAGTCCATAAATTAAATTATGACACATCCATACAATAAAACATTTGCAGCTTTAAAATAATCAAGAGGGAGAATTTTGTGTATTGATTTGAAAAAATATGCAATATTTATTGATAAATGACAAAAGTAAGTTGCAATACAATGTATGTGGTATGATACACTTGTGGGGGAAGTGGAAAGACATGTACATGTCTGTACATACATGTGCACAATATGTTTTTCCATGCATGCATATGTCATAGGTTCCCTGGAAGGGAGAGTGTCTAGAAACTTCTAACCATGGTTACCTGTGAGTGCTAGGAGTGGGAATCAGGAGAATGGAATAGAAATGGGAGAGACTTTTCAAACATGACTATTTCATAATATTTACATATATGAAGCATATAAATGCACTTCTTACTCAAAACATAAATTAATCCATTTTAAATTTTAAGAAGAAAATATAAGAAAGCTGGGTCAAAGGGGGAATAAAGGTGGAGAAGCTAGACAAAGCCAGGGCTGGGGTTTGTCTTCACCGTGGCATGTGCTGGGAGCTCCTAGCTCTGAGCTTTCCCCCATCCGGTGAGAAAACAGACACATTCAATCCACAGTCATGGCCATCCCAGACCCGTGCAGACCAGCAGTTCAGGAGAAACACGATTTGCTGACATAGACATGTCCATGGGTCCAGGGGCCACATCTAAATCACAGGATGTGGGTGCCACAGGGGATTGTAGGTAACCGAAGGCAACACCCTGCTTGAGAGCTGAGAA